ATCTCTTCTCTTGTCATATTTAAATAGTGCAGTTGATGAGGCTACTGTGGTGGTTTTCTGAATTTGTATGAAACATTAATATTTCGGCCCTTGTTGTGCATTTTTTATTGTTGACCTTTTGGAGTAGCGACAGCCCCGTTAACTCAGGTGGTGGCATGCAAATGAGCTCAAATGGAGTCTTGCGATAACCAGTTAGAAAGTGCGTTTATCCCGTCTTTAATGTGGCAAAATGTGATTGACTAATCCCAGCATGCTCTTCACTTGGTAGCATGTTAGCTGCTAGAACACCACGAGACTCACAAGCCTGTAGCAACACCTAGTTTGTGAAGACACATGGAGAAACTTTGCTGTGCTACTCGTTTAAGCAGGTCTAGCCTGCCACGACTCAGAGGTTGGTTGTAGATTTGTAATCCAGGTGTGTTGATTGCTGCAGTTGGATTGGCTGAGGGTAGAGGGAACTTGGTGGTGGTCCAATCAGGAATGGCAGGAGGAGAAGAAGGGCTGGAATGCAGGTCTGTAGCTTCAGGCTAATCAGCTGCAATGGCTGGCAGCTGGTTCGATATCATGCCGCTCCTCTCCTTATACAGAGTCCACAAGATCCACCGCAACACAAGACGGCGCAAACACCAGGGCCGTAACATGAGTGAAAGCAGATTTTTGCTGCAGAAAACTAATTTGTGGAACATGTAAAAAATAAATAAATAAACACAGAGACATTGCTTTATCTTTTTTTCTGAAATCCCAATTTTCTTTGAGAGCATGTTTGTTGTTCTAAATATGCAGACACGCAAACACGCATGTCCGACCCCCACCCAAAGTCTCCCAGGACGCGATGCCACCCCATGACAAATAGAACTGGCCAGAGGTCGCATTTCTGCGGCGCTACTTCTAATTTCTCCCTCTCACACAGTGACCTTGAGCCAACAACAACAACATCAGCACAGAGATGGATCTGTTTACACTGAAGCTGTGATTCGTTCCGGTATTTGGCTGAGATTAGAGGACACTGTCTCGCAGTGCCATAAGATTGTTGCTAAGGGCTCATCAGCAGCGCCTGACCTGCACGGTCGGATGTGTGCGTCCGTGTGTACATCCGAATTGCCACGAGAAACTGCAGTGGGTTTGTCAGTTTTACACAAACGAGACGCGTAAACGCACACGCACGCACAGCAACTGTCAATTATTTATTTGGACTCTTATCATGTATGCACATATGCACAAATCATGTAATGGCTGGGTCACTACATCGACTTCCTGCGGTGGCAGCTGGTGAAATAAATGAAAATGTCCCGCACTTGTTATTTCAGTGTGAGCAGTAATGGGGGGAGAAAATACCAACGCTTCCTGTATGAGGTCCTGTTACCCTGAGACGTCTTGTTACTGATGTCACGGAAACCAGCAGGACTAATCCATTAAGGGCCATCCTCGGGGAGCAGAGAGATCAGGCCTGAACAAATTGTCACCACTTATCATTGGGACACACTTTTCTCTACAATACCACAGGGAGCCATTTAGGACCTGGCCTAAACTCTCTCTTTATCCCGCAAAGCATGGAAATAGAGTCTGATAGGAGAAAGGAAGGGAAGGAGTGGGGAAGCCGAAGGGTGCGTGAGAGCAGAGAAAACACAGGGTCGGACAGAAACAATGATGTTTTTCTAGGCTTTATGGGATCTATTATTCACTTCACTAAATAAGTATGCTTTTTTTTTCTGGGCGGCACTTCTACTACTCACTGTACTAAATTAAAACAGTTTAATAATTCTTACTGCATTTCTGCTGCTCACAAATGTCTTTATTTGGCACATGGATTGTTCTATGAATGAACCTGAATAATGGGTACCTGGAAGTACATCATTCCTAAAAAAAAAAAAAAAAGGAAAGTTTGGTCAACTTAAAATAATTGGGGTTTTGCCCAAATGTAAACATGTTCTAAAGTATCAACTGCTGCCAGTTTCATACATACAGTTCAAACCAGAAATTTACATACACTGTACAAATCAGACTACCACATTTTTCCTGTTTTGGGTCAGTTGGGATGAACAAAATTATTTCTGTTTGCTAAACACCAGAATAATGAGAGAGAGAATTTTTTAGAGTATTTTTTATTACTTTCTTCAAAGTCAGAAGTTTACATACATTTCCTTAGTATTTGGGAGCATTGCTTTTAAACTGTATGACTTGGGTCAGACATTTTGGGTTTCCTTCCACAAGCATCTCACGATAGTTTGATGAATTCTGGTCCATTCCTCCTGACAGAACTGGTGGAACTGAGTCAGGTCGCCTTTTCAGCTCTGCCCACAAATTTTCTACAGGATTGAGATCAGGGCATTGTGATGGTCTCTCCAAAACATTGACTTTGTTGTCCTTAAGCCACTTTGTAACTAATCTGGCGCTATGCTTAGGATCATTGTCCATTTGGAAGACCCATTTGTGCCCAAGCTTTAACTTCCTGACTGATGTCTTGAGATGTTGCTTCAATATTTCCACATAATGTTCTTTCCTCATGAGGCCATCTATTTTGTGAAGTGCACCGGTCCCTCCTGCAGCAAAACAGCCCCACAACATGATGCTGCCACCCCCGTGCTTCACAGTTGGGATGGTTTTCTCAGGCTTACAAGCTTCCCCCTTTTTCTTCCAAATGTAGCGATGGTCATTAAGGCCAAACAGTTCAGTTTTAGTTTCATCAGACCACAGGACAGGTCTCCAAAAATGAAGGTCTTTGTCAGAAAATCTCTCTCTCATTATTCTGGCATTTAGCAAATAGAAATAATTTTGGTAATCCTAACTGACCTAAAACAGGAAAGGTTTAGTCACATTTAATGTCAGACAGTGAGGAAAAAAAAAAAAACAGATTATGTCTTTTTATACAGTGTATGTAACTTCTGGTTCCAACTGTATACCTAACAAAACACAATCAGACCTCTGAGTCATTTGAATGGAGCTAGACAGTAGTAGAGAGTTCTTGCAAAACAGCAAGTTTCTCTGCCAGAAAAGTTGAACAAGGCTGCAGTCATGCATAATGTCATCCAACAAGGTGTACTGCCAAAAAGGCAGGCAGCATTTCTGGTAGATTGCTTTGTAACATGACCCTGAATTTCTGCTTTGCAGCAGCTATGACAGGATGAAGTAGCTGATGTGATGACGCCCCAGAGTTGTAAAATTCATTCTGCAGACCATTGTGCATTGTCTTTTTGCATCTGATAAGCCTTTAAACACATTCATCTGTTACTCCCACTAGACTTGTTTGATAGTATTTTGCAGGATTTTGTTTCTTTCGTTCATTTTGTGATATTTAGTGTTGTGTTTTTAGCTATTTTTGAACTGAAGTATGCCACCTTATTGGATGGATTACTACAACATTTTGTTCAGACATTCATAGTTCCCAGTAGGGCTTTAGCGTCCAGGTCAACTGATCGATCGGTTGGTAGAGATACTCTCATCTGACGAAATTCTCATTGGCCATGTGAGTGCCAGTGTTTCTTTTCTAAGGAGAAAAGCGTATGTATTAATCCAGTACTTTGGGCAGCAAGATGAGCAGACAACCTGGAAAAATTACATGAGAAAACGTTGCTGTTGCTGCTGTAGGTCCACTTTATTTAATATTTACATTTACTGAACCTATACAGGGACTTGGCTCCAAACTAACTGAGATGTCGGCGGCGTTGTGTTCAAACAGACGGCCAAAATTCAAGTGTAAACTTTGCAAACAGAAGCTTCGCGTATCACAGCCAACATGGTGTATCATCTAAAAATAGCAGGGTGACGTGTTTGCGTTATATTCCTCAGTAGTTCTTGTGCAGGGATCACGAGTTGATGTAGTTCTGTCTTAGGAAGTCATATGAATATTTGAGTAGAAAATTATGAAACAAGCTGCAAGTTCGTAGCTTTTTATGTTTATTAACCTTAAGCCTCACATAGCTGGTCGCTCTTACTTTGAAACACATGGGTTTACATCCTGGCTAACTTGCACCATGATTGATCATGTTGCAGTACACTTTTGCTGGTGAAGACAAATAGATATTATAATGAGGAGCATGGATCTGAGTGTGTGTGTTCTGACCCGACTACATAGTTCTAGAGTTATTTTTTGTTTTGTTTTTTCAAGCAAACTCGTCAGTCAAACAGGTTCAATTAAATTTCTTCTCTCATTTGTTTTCTTTTCCAGCTGAGTTTAGTTCTCTAACGGAGGTGTATCACACCAGCTTGTCCAACTCGCTTTTTACCGCACAGCCTCTTGTTTGGTGTCACATATATGACTCTGGATCTCCCAGCTGCTCACTGTCTCGTCCTGATGTTTCGTTTTTTATGTTTCTTTTTTTTTCTTTTTTTTTTTTTTATTGTTCCTTTAATCCAGTTGCTCTCACAAACACACACACACGTAAGTATGAGTCATGCACAGCCTCTTTTTGACATGCAGCCTACTGTGCAGGCAGAGCACTGCCTTTTTGGATCAAACTAGATTGTTGGAGCATTAAGCCAGTAAGAGCTTCTGCAGACAAACAGGTAAACAAAACGTTTACTGTATGTCTGGCCACCGAGTACCCGGAAGACAATTTTGTGTTATTCCAGAAATATCAAATTGAATCGTTCTGCTTTACCGCCATCCGTCCTCTCTTCCCTTTCTTCTCTCTTTTGATCGCTTTGCACTGCTGCAGAATTTGGAGTACATTTTAAGAGCAAGAAAAGCTAAAAAGAAAACAAAAAAAACAACAGAAATAGCTTATCATAGCAGATTGACGTCAGTTTCAATATCAGCAAGGAGGCTTCCTCTGAGCCGTCAATGTCACGAGCCCAATACTGCCAAATCTATGTTTCTGTGTGTGTGTGTGTGTTAGACTTTCAAGTGTGGTTTCTCTTTTTTTAGAACTGCTTTTTCAGAGAAAATGGTTTTTGAAAAGCCTTGACATTTTGTGCTTGTGTGATTTTTATGATTTTATACTTCTGTACAAATATGACTCATTTGATTTTCCTGCATGTGTGTCCGTGTGTGTGTGTTCCAGCTACCATCATTTTGAACGAGCTAAATTGGACAGAAGCCTTGGAGGATGTTTTCCGAAAAAACAAAGAGGAAGATCCCTCACTCCTCTGGCAGGTGTTTGGCTCTGCCACCGGATTGGCTCGGTACTACCCAGGTAAGCAGCCCAGCAGCCAATGGGCTTAAAGCAACAGCCTGCTGATTGTCCTGTGGGGAGTCATGGAGACAGAAAATTACCACCAAAGGGCCATTTTACCATACTGCAGACAGATGCATGCAAACACAAGCAGACTTTCCCAAACACTGTTGTTATGGCTCCTTCAGACTTTGTGCTGAGAAACAGGTCACAAAAAGCATATATGTGAATATGATTGTGACCGTAGTAACTGTTGAAATGTTTAACTGCCAACTTGCTGTTTTCAAAATCTTGGACGACAGATTACTTTTAAATTGTCCTCCATACCAACACTTCAGACATAGTAAAGATCCGCTGGCATCACATTTAAATACAGTAGTACCCTTTGTCATTGTTTAGGATGCTTCAATAGACCTAAAAGATTCCCTCAGTGTTAGATATCGATGTCATCAGTCCGTAGTCACATTTCTCAGCTGGTATCATCACTGACGGTCCTTATCAGGAAATGGGAACTTTGCATCGCTTAATGTTGTGAAAGGACGTATTTAACCCAATGTGGTCTTTTCCTAAAACTAACCAAGTAGTTTTGGGGCCTAAATTAGGCGATTAGGTGGCATAATTAATGATGCTGACATTGACAATGACGCATGTCTTCTTGTTTACTTCACCTTTCTTCAATTTGACTGTGGCATTGTTGTGTCATGACGTCAGTCGTTTTTGGCTCCAGTCATTGGTCAGCTACAGCAGGCAAAGATTGTTGTCACAGAATTTAAAAAAAGGGGGTTTTTTTGGAGTTTTTTTTTTTTACCCTTTTCAGATTTTCATTTCAACCGCAGCATCACAGAACAACCCACAAGGAGCTATTTGTTGTGGAGGAACTTAAACATGATCTGCTTCTCTCCTGCCCACTTTGCTCACTTATATTTTAATACAACCAAATTGTCAATACAGCTGTTCTCATTCACATGTTTTTATGTGTCTGTTGTTAAACAACAGGACAAGTATAAAATTGTGACCGAAACGTGGCTCATTAAGGCTACACGTTAATTAACAGTCACTGTCAAGCTGCTGCTTCGCGCCACTGATTTTAAAATCACAACGTTGTCCGTCAGACTCAACACACACACACGAGTTAAAGTCTGTTGCTGTGCTGTGTTTTCATCTGTATTTGCTTAGAATTTCAAGCTCCTACCAAAGTCAGAGAACTTTTTTTTTTTCAGTAAGTAGACAATGAGTTGCTTTAGCTGCTGTGTGATATAATATCCGTCATGTCCATGTTTTGCTTTGTTCCATGTACAGACTTGAAGTTTACACTTTGTTACTGGGTTCAGTAGAAGCTCCGGTTTCCGTTGGTGTTGCACTGCTGGCTTTATCTTGGAGTTTCCAGGTTAACCCTACAGCTTTGCACTTTAAGATGTGAATTTTCTTTACATTTCGTCCTGTGCTGCCTGATACAATGACAGAAAGTTTGTCAAAACTAGAAGCTTTAAAGACGTAATCATTTACAATTATCCACTAATTGATGACATAGTTTAATAAACAGAAGAAAAGACATTATAAGAATAAAACAGGAAGTAAAAAAGGCTCCTGGGTGAACATCCTGTGACTTGTAGCGCTGCTGAATATCGGCACGGATGCCAAAAGACACCTTGTCGGCGTCTCTGATACACCGGTGGCAGTTTTCGACACCCTCAGAACAAGAACATGTCGCCGTAGCTCAAAGATTGAATTAAAGAAATAGTTCAGCATTATGGGGAATATCGCACACGAGCTGTCTTGCCAAGATCACATGAAAGGATCATTGCAGCTCTCGTGGCTGTGCCGTATTGAAGTAGCACCGAGAAGTGTTAAATTATGCTTAATTTAACACGAGAGCTCGAAACTGTAACAGCTAGTCTGGCTCTAACTAAAGTTCAGAGACTTTGCTGATTCTCTGGCAAACGCACAGCGACAACAAGACTCGCGGAAGTCTGAGTGACTCCCTGTAAACACAGCATGTTGTTGTTTTTACATTTGTGTTCATATTTAAAGAATAAATGTGTTGCATTGATTGCTGAGCTTTAGAAGCTAAACAGAACTTTGGAGACAGACAGGCAGGATTGTTTTTTACCCGTTTCCATTCTTCTGCTGAACTAAGTCAAGATAATTGGATCCTTGCCTTGTCTTGACAAAAGAGACACTAAACTACTAACTTAATATATATCAAGGTTTAAGAATATACATGAAGCCAAACCCAACTACCTCAACAAACAATAGTTGATGTAGTCGTCTTAATGTCCGAATGTGAGTAAAACACATTTTTCTTTTTCCGTTTTCCTTCTGTCAAATGTTAGCATCCCCTTGGACCGTCACGAGCGACATACCCGACAAGATTGATCTCTACGACGTGCGCAGACGGCCGTGGTGAGTGTCGCTGCTCGTTATGGGATGTGCAGTTCTGTTTCTCTCTGGTGTCGTCAAGAACAGACGCGTGGCTCGTTCAGTCTACCTGTGCAGTTGTCATATTAAACACTCATTTGCAAAAACTATGTTTGCATGTTGCATAAGAACATCTGCGCACACACACACACACACACACACTGTTGAAACAATGAAATCCAGGTCTCTGGGCAAAGCCAAACCCCCTCAAACAAACACATCAGAGCACTGTGATGACTGTAGATCAAAGGGGAACCAATACAAAAGCTTCATTAGTCTCCTGAAATGATTAAAATCTGGCTGGAAGCCACCAATACTCTTTTAAGCATGTTATTAAATTTTATTAGCTCAGATACTGAGCACTCTAACTCTGCACAAAGACGCACAACTGTTTGTTTATTAAAGAAAGGAGAGGCAATCAAAGATTACAAAGGTCTGATTGATTTTACATGCAAATGAGAGTAAGTGATATTTGTTTACTTGCTCAAAGAGAAGAATGAATGTGATGAAATTGCAAAATGTACAGTCTGAAAATGAGCTCAGTCTCTGACTTTTGTGTAATAGCCGTCTGTGTTTCTTTTTGGGGGGTGTTTTTTCCACCTCTGTGCACATGTGTGTCTCTGTATGTGCTCAGTATCCCTGACCTGTGTCTGTGTGTGTCTCTCATTACTCACCAGGTACATTCAGGGGGCGGCGTCACCCAAGGACATGCTGATTCTAGTGGATGCGTGAGTGACGACCTCGTGATTCATCCATTACAGTCAGATTTTATTTTCTTTTGCGCGCCAGAAGGCCCTGACGCTAACTCACTGACTGGCCACATCCCGCTGGGCGCTGCGGTGCTGCGTTCACGTGTGACACTGACAAACAAAAAAGCAGTCAGCACACTGGGCAATCTCATTATTCACAGTTCCATTATTTCTTCCCAATACGTATGCCTTAAAAATGTACGTTTAGCAGAGCAAACATGCTCAGAGAGGATTCAGGAGCAAAAGCAAAACGGTTACGACAGCAGTACAGCCTTTGATCGATTTAAGGATTTCAGGACAAGACAAGTTCAAGTTCTGATTTCACATTGTCTAATTAAAGAAAGAGAAAAGGACGTTTGATTGACATACTTATGTTAATATGTATAAATAAATGCACTGTATATGTCTGAAAGAGCAGAATTAAGCAAACGCATGCGTCGTATTTACGCTACACTTAATTATGCAAACCCTCTGAACCCCAAGCAGCTTGAGCATTTTCTGCTCCTGTCACATTTTTACTCGGTACAGGCTCATTTTTCACTGCAACAGAAAGTCCTGCACCTCTATGGAAACAGCACAACCACGACTACTAGCAGAGAGAGAACTCCAAAATATCTTTGGTGCATTACAGCAAAGTTATAAAGGTGCAAACCAACAAAAAAAATTATTATTATTATTTTCTTTCTTCCTTTTTTTTTTTTTTGCTTATATTGAAAAAACAATTAAATAAATAATGGACCTACCACATTTTTCCAAGTGTCCACAGGTCCTACCAATACTGGAGAAACAATGGGTGCTCTACATGCTACAGATATTTTACGACTTACATTTTCTTAAACCTGTCACCACACTTGTCTCATATCTGCTTTGTGTAAACACAGCCTGCAGTTCAGCCCAGTACAGCTTGAAAGTCCTTGAATTTTTGTCACGTGACTGCTGGCCGCAGGTCAGTCACTAATAGTTTCCAGATTGTGCTGAAGAGTGTAGAATTTTTTGTTTTTTGCAGAATCTGTTCAGTGCGAACGATTTATAGCTGGTGAATGTTTAAATGAGACATGTAGAATAAATGCATTATGATGAAATGTTACGTTTTTCAGCTTAGATTTCCCAAACCTTACTGATGAGTAGTTCAGGGACTGTCGGAAAATTCAAAATCCGACAATTCTCTGTGTTTTTACACTTTCTGGCTCTGATAAATGGTATCGTTTTGGCAGTTTTTTAAAAATGAAAACATACCTTTCAAACTTGCCGTGGCAGGTTTGGGCTTTAGAGGGTTTAAGGACAAGCCTCACAGAATTTTTATTTGCGCTGTGCAAACCTATGAACAAAGTTAAACTTATCCTTTACCAACTGTTGCCTGTGCAGCCACATTATTCTTATTTATTTTTTCCCCCAAATCACTGAAAATGTATCAGATAGCCACACCTTATGTGTGTTTCTTTATTGCTATGAACATGGACACTTTAACTTATTTAGCGTAGACATCACACACTCCATCTTTATGTTGTAAAAGCTCACTGACACACCAAATGTGTTTTAATCCATGGCTGTAAATAATACCCAACAAATACATCATTTTCTCTTGGGTCATGTGTAATAAAAACGACAATTCCCAACTGATTTAGAGAATTATTAGACTATTTCTAATTTTAATTATTTTTTTTTTTATTATGTTGATGTGCGATATGTATTTAAAAATGCACATCTTCAATAAGAAATGTATTTAAGCAGAAGGAGTTTATGATGTAGATTTGTCTCATGGTTGACAAGGATTCACTACTTTCACCAGTGTGCTGTGCTGCATGCAGGAACATGTGGTTGTGAGTGCGGAGCTGTACATTCTTTCTAGTGTCAAAGTGATTTTATTTCCGCTGAGGTGAAGTTTGATTATAAACGACACTCATGGCACCGCACCAGTGCTAAATAACCGCGCAATATGATGAATGAAAAACTAAATTTGTCCGCTTGCAACTCTTAACACAGTGCTGGTAATTGGCACACAGATGATTGATGAGGCTCATTAAAAAGCTCCCATCGTTACGCTTTGGAGAAAAGAACATTAAAGGAACTCCACTCCTCATTTTTCCACTTTCTGTTATTTTCTAGTCTTTTACCTGCAGGAACCAATTAAGCGGCGTATTTATCCATCCATTTGATTCCTAATGGCAGCCCTTTCTTAATGTGATGGAAAGACATAGTCACATGGTTTTGTATCTATGCTTGTGGCTCATGCATACGTTTCTCCCTGCAGGTGGTTTGCATTAAAAGAACCTGAAGTGTATTCATATTTTGGAGACCTTTAAGGTGTCAGTTGTCTAGTACACATAATATTACTGCAGAAGGGCAGAGGTGCAGTCAAGGAAACTTTCAGCATGAGGTTACATTACAGTAACACATGTTCCTGCTCAGTTTTACAAACTATAAGATGAGTTTTTGATTTATTTTTTGATGTTGATTTAACACAAATGTGCTTTTTCCACACTGCAGGAGTGGGAGTGTATCAGGGCTCAACCTCAAACTCATCAAATCATCCGTCAACAATATGCTGGAGACCCTCTCCGATGACGACTACGTGAACGTGGTCTATGTGAGTGTGCAGTGCTTTGATCTCAGCAGCTTCAGTGGTATCGCTTCTATCAGAAACAGCATTTTTCTGCTCGATCCAGAAAGTTCTTGATGATTCTGAGTTGAATTTCCAGGCGCACACATTGATGGATGTTAATGTGGACGTATATGCGGCTTGACAGTTTGAGTAGCTCTAACCCAGTTTGAGTCATCGGTTGAAACATGGCCGTGACCTTTTTAGGAACGTAATGTACCACACATGGATGGATCTTTATTGTGGCTGCATATGTGCAGGGATGCATGCGTGCTTGTGTGCTCATTTGTCTGACTCAGAGTATCTATGTGTGAATATACAGTATATGTGTGTGTTAATGGAGGTGTATGTATGAGAAAAGCATCTCCGGAGCATCGGAGCTGAACCCAAGTATGTGTGACTAATAAGGCGTGCACATGACACAGCTCGGCCAAGCCCTGAAATGCCACATGATAAGTTTGACAAATGAATGTGTGCTGCATTTATAAGCTGCACTTTGAATCAGTGGCATGTAATGGAAAAGCGCTTGCTTGGCCAATTGAAATTCTGCAGGAATCTCCGGCTTCAAAGTTTAACTGGCATGGGGATGGAGAAAATATTCATCCATCATCATTTAAAGCTCCATCGGCTGGTCAGTTAAAGCATTTTTGCTTCCTGGTGATATTATGTGTGGAAAAAAAAACACACTTTTAAATTTCCCTCAGTTGAAGGAATTTGTGAGTGGTCTCATGGACGTATTGGAGGCAATCGTACTGGATGTAATTAGGCCGGAGATGCAAAGACCATCACTTTAACTTGATTTTCAGCCTTTAGTGGCACTGCCGGTATCCTCCTCTTAATGCTGTTGCTAGGCAACCATGAAGCTATGCTTCTGTCTGCCGATTAGTGAGCGTAGTTTAAGGTGGCTAATGTTAGAAATCTAAAGAACTCTCACACTGAGTGCTCAGAAGAGAAGAAGGTGCTCTGCTGGAAAAATACAGTCAAATACAGTCAAACTAAGGAGACACAATCCTAATGGCAAAATGTCAGAGTGTTTGAACTTCAGGTGTGTTGACACTGAAAGTATTTTAGCCACATTTTTCAGTTGTCAGTCTCACACATGTCCAGTGGAACACCATCCATTTTCTTTCACTTCTCCTGCTTCGCCGGCTGTTCCAGACGTCCCTCTTCCCAGAAACATTTTCCATCTCCTCTGGGGGATCCTAAGGCGTTCCCAGGACACATGAGTTATGTAATCCTCCAAAGAAAGGCCCGAACCACCTCAGTTCGCTGCTTTTGATGCGCCTTTGCATTGAAAGGAACTCCCTGCCGTTGTCCGAGCTCCTCACCCTGTCTCTACGGCCGAGCCCTAGTTGTCACTGTAGTCGCCGTACAGAGGAAACTACGAGGGTACTTCAGAAGGTTCTCAGCCTCGCAGGAGATCGCAGGAGATCACAGGAGAAAGGTTGTTCTTCCTTTAACTTCAGTGCACTTGGTCCATTGATGTTCAATCTTCAGAACAGAAGTTCACCTCTCTAGCCTCGAGATAATCATCAGCGTGATGGAAGAAGTCAGACAGTGCCAGGTCGGGTTAGAAAGGTGCATCAGGCAACAGTTCAAAGCCACGTCTGGCTGCTTCTGCCACCCGCACTGTGTAGACAAGTACATTATCTTGGAGTGACAGCACGCCTGTTTGAAGCTTTCCTCTCTTTTTTTGATTGCTTCAAACATTTAGTCTTTGTGGACAGAGATATAAGGCTTTGTATTACACAGTTATGCCCCAAAATGGGGGTCGTTTCTGGATGAGAACTTCTTGAACTACCCTTGTAATTTTGACTGTTTATAGCTACGATCGCATTCTTTCGGTCGCTATCCTGAGCTCATGGCCATAGGTGAGGACTGGAACACAAACCGACCAGCAAATCAAGAGCTTTGCCTTCCAGCTTAGTGGAAGAATCAATCCAGCTGCACCAATGGCGATATAACATCTTGTGTTTTATTCAAGCTATACGCCAACAGCTGTGACCTGATGCACATATTAATCGTTAGACTCTATTTCATGCACATATCTACAACGTTGTGTTTTGAGCTCTAAACAAAACACAGCGTGGTAGAAATAACCTGAATCGATATGTATAGTTCTAAGATTATCTGGAACAGTTTGTTAACCAGATAGCCACAATAGCTATGATGTCGTGTATGATAGCCTAGTGGGGAAGGAATACCCAAAGGTGGAATGTAGCATTTCATTACTGACTGATATTTTCTATTAAGTTCAATTCAGTTTTTTTGTTTTTTTTTAACGCCTAGCCACAACATATGTAATCTCAAGGTACTTTTTGCAATAAAAACATTGTAAAATAATAGAGAGAAATCCCAACTAATGGAAACCATTCCCTTTGAGCAGCTATTTGGTAACAATTGGAAGTAAAAACTTTAACAGCAGGAACTGTCTGGCAGATCCAGGCCCAGGGAGGACGGTCGTCTGCCTCCACCAGTTAGGGTGAGGATTTTTTTCAGGGCTGATACTGACTTACAGTGATCACAGAGACCAACAATCCATATTTTGAGCAGATTTTTAGTTTCAAATTTAAAAACTTGTTGGGAAAATTAAGTTTCATAGGTTTTATTTATGCTTCTCACATGTTGTAATAACAAAGAAATTTTGAACATTTGTTCTTTAGGTTGGACTCAATAATTAACCAAACCGATATTCCGTGAAGCCTTGTTTTGTTTCCGATGTTCGGTCGTTGTTTCTTCATCCAGTTGTTTCTTCCAGCCTTCGTGCTAAGCTCGGCTAACCAACTGCTGGCTTCAGCTTCATTTTAAATGTTGCTCGAGGCCAACCTCTTATCTTTTTTTCCCCATTGTTATTTCTGTTTATTTTATCTCATACTAAGTACAGACGAGTGCCTTTTTAACAACATGTCATACTTACATTCATATATTGTTTTGATGTTCAGTGTGGACATGAATCACCCATGTTCATTAGAACAACATTTGCATTCGTGCAGCACACAGGTGGTCTGTCTGAACATCTCAGCTCGGCGCATCGCTCCAGTTGCTTGCATCTTTGGCACAGGATATGTCGTGTACTTAGACGTGACTGTCTGAAATCTCCTTTATCCTTATCTGTCTGCTCTTTGTCCTTCCTCCACTCTCTCCAAATGGCAGGGAGCATAAATTACTTTCTGAATTTGCTTTCCAGATTAATCATTAATTACATTTTCTTTCACTTCCCTTAATAAAGCGGTAGTTTGTTTTTTTTTGTTTGGGGCTTTCAAATCAGCTAAGTGAACTGGCCTTTGAAGTAAATGAAATCAGGCGTCGGTGTAATCAGGATATTGAGGGCGACCGGCTCACTTTGTTGAGCGTTTTGAAGCTTTTTGAAGGTACAAACTTATATAATAAAATAGTGGAATATCTCATTTCTGCGCATCTAAATGATGCTTTTAGGATTCCTGTTTTAATGCCGGCGTGTTGCTCCGACTTCCCCACGGTGGCTCACACAAACGAACACACACCTCATTAACCAGAGACTGTGACTAAAGTTCTTTAACCTCATAGATAATTATTGTCTCACTTATTATCTGAACCTGAAATATACATTTGTGTGTTATTTTAAAGGAAATGACGCAGTATGCTCAGACAGCTGGGTTTTATTAATTGCTTTGAGTTCAAAAGGTATTTATTTAATGAAAAAAAATGTCAATGTATGGAAACTATTTACCATTTTAACTTAAGATTATGTGTGTGTTTTGTGGTTAGCTTGCTTGTGGACATTTTTTTAATCTGCTGCTGACCTGCTCTGCATTGACAAAACACTCCAATCATTTTTTAAATTAAAGCTCCTTCACCGTTCATTGATTAAACCCTTTAAAACTCAACTCTGTGTATCAAAGCTACGTATTTACTTAAATAGCAACTTTCTGCCTTGAAATGGTTTGGATCCAGCACTGCACCATTGTTTCCTTCAAAATTTATCAAGTCTCTGCCGTTTACTTGCTGCAGCTCCAGCACACCAGCTCACCAGCTCCCCTATAAAGGGTTAACAGGGTTAAAAAAATTTAAAAAAAACACCAATAGGGGCCTTTAATAGAAAGTCTGCCATTTGAACACTGCCTTTATCCATCCATCCATTATCTATATACCGCTTAATCCTCACTAGGGTCACAGGGGGGCTGGAGTCTATCCCATAGGGCGAAGGCAGGAGACACCCTGGACAGGTCACCAGTCTATCACAGGGCTACACTTAGAGACAGACAACCAAGCACACTCACATTCACACCTATGGACAATTTAGAATCACCAATTAACCTCAACATGTTTTTGGACTGTGTGGGAGGAAGCCGGAGAACCCGGACAGAACCCACGCTGCACGGGGAGAACATGGAGACTCCGTGCAGAAAGATTCCGGTGCCCCCACCGGGACGCGAACCGGCAACCTTCTTGCTGCGAGGCAACAGTGCTACCAACTGCGCCACCCTGCAGCCCCCCACTGCCTTTATATTTCCTGTAATGATTTGTTAATCCTCATTATGGAAACGAAAACGCTGCTAATGTTTTTGTTTATAAATCTTCAAAAACTGCACTACATTCCTTCAAAAACAAGCGTTGTTCACAGTACTGGTGTGGCGTGGAGGTTGGTGGCAGAGAACAATTGGAGGTATTTTTGTTCCATACACAAGCTTGTATAGTCCGTGCCCACACGCAGTATGTTGTTCTGCTGAGCTTTATGTTTCTGTGATATTTTACGACGTGTATTATAAGTTCGATAAAGTTCAGACTCTCCGTGGCTTATATTAGCGTGGGCGCGTGTCTTTAGAGGACGAATGTCTTGGCAGCATATGCCCCGAAACGTCTGCCAACGTGTTGAATACTTGGAAACCGTCGTCGCGGACTGCAGCTTCCTTTGGTGTTCTAAAAAAAAAAACATGAACCTGAGAGAGAAAATGAGATTCTGATCTTTTTGCGCTTATCTAATTTTTTTTTTCTTCAAAACTGTTCTCCAATTTAAAGTATTTACACCCTGTATAAGATTGCTGAAGCACTTCTCCTGGCTTCAGTGGATAACGTCACAGTTATTTTGTGACTAATGCACCTGGAATAGTCGGGCTACTTGGCCTCTATTATGCTCACTGTTTGCTCTGACGACTCATTTAAACCGCCGGTCGGCTCAATATGATTTCCCTTTGTAGCCGCCCTTGTCGTCGAGGTTCAGAGATTACGCCGTTGAGGTCTCTTCCTTTCAAGTACTAGTTATGCTATTTTGTCACCCGCATTTTATGTTTTGTGGAGAATTCTGCCCAGCGCTGAATAAAAGCAGCGTTTTTTTTGTGTGTGTGTGTTTGCACGTGTTGGAGAGCGTGTGTTTTTGTCTGGGTCTGCGTGATCATGATTGGAGGAGTGCAGTCAAGGCCAAAACAGATGTTAGGTATTAATGAGGCATGTCCCAACCCTCCATAGATGCTGTGTGTGTGTGTATGTGTGTGTGATTATAGTTGTGTGTGTGTGTATGAATTGATTGGGTTCCATCTGTTCCTCTACATTAACTATTCACCAATATTAACCTGAAGATGCTTCACATGTAGAGCTGTGTAAATGTAATTTAACCAGTTACAGTAATGTCTGCCTCTACGGCATAATCCTTCGATAATCAAGCTCTTTGTGTTTTTTTTTGGTTGGTTTTTTTACCTCCTTATGCCACTGTTTTCACATCCCTACCTACTCTCCTGCCAATCCTTCCTTTTGCTCCTATAGCTCCCTTTGGTCTGTGCAGATTTGATTAAAACTGATTTCATTTCACACACTTGTGGAACAGTTGTCAATTAGTGTGTTTTTGTTTTTGTTAGTGGAAATGCAATCACTTTAATCTCTTCGTTTAAAATGTTTAGTGGATCCTAAATGTTTAAGGGACACTGCATGGCTCTGCAACGAAGGGAAAAAAAAAAAAGGCCACATATTTAATAGAAAATATGTGCAAGTGCCTTCCCTCCACTTCCCGTCATCCCTTCCTTCCCTCTTCCCATCCAGTTCAACGAAACGGCCTCGAACGCAGCGTGCTTTCAGAACCTGGTGCAGGCCAACGTGAGGAACAAGAAGATTCTGAAAGAAGGGGTGCGGAACATCGTTGCAAAGGGTATCACCAACTACAAAGGTGGATTCGAGCTCGCCTTTGAGCAGCTCGCACAGGTAGAGTCTCAGACAGAGGTGTCTGCTCGGTAACTTTGAAAACATTACAGTCAATCTGTTGTATTTGATTACTGAATCCGCCGACGCTCCCTTGAAATATAAACACCAACCCAGAGGCTCGGGCAAATCTACTTTACAGTCTGATTGACTTTACCCTCATTAGTTGATCTAATTAATTATGAAAATGATGGAACATAAAACATGCTGACAACTCAATCCCAGTGCGGTTCCCATGAAGCGTGGTTATGTGTCGACCTCTTCTGGTCGTTTTAGACATCGCAGGTTTTTCTTGTTTCCCCTGTAACTGCACATGTATAAACAAAGCTACTGAACTATTTCATGCAGCCACTTGTGTAGCCTGTAACCAACAGGGCTTGTTGTCGAATGTCTACCAGGTGAATGTGTCCAGGGCCAACTGTAACAAGATTATAATGCTCTTTACTGACGGAGGAGAGGAGAGGGCAGAGGAGATCTTTCAGAAATACAACCCGAAGCAGGCGGTAGGACTTTAAAAAGATCAAATGTTGAATGCAGAAGGATTTGATTTTTTGTCTTATTTAGTTAATTATTTTCTTCCTTTCGCAGGTTCGCATCTTTACATTTTCAGTGGGTCAGCACAACTATGACAAAGGACCAATACAGTGGATGGCCTGCACTAATAAAGGTACAAGGTTGCATTAGAGGGCCAGTGATTAGTTCATTTACATGATGTGACTTTTCTACTGTAGAATGAAAAGTATATGTCAGTTCCAACTGTGATATGACGGTAAAAATATTTTGTATGGTTCACAGGTAAGCTGACAATGTTTCAAAACTTTCTATTTATTATTATTCATTAATGACTTTTTCTTTTCAGTTATGTCCAGTTGTCAAACACAAAATGTGTCATGTTTCATGTATTGTGAATACACCTATGGAACTATTTCAGATGATCAATAAAAAGCACAGAATGACCCTTTAAGTGGTAAAATTTTTATACATAGGTATAGAGAGATTAATGTGTTTTTTATTTAGCTACAAAATGCAATTAAAATGACATGTATGGGTTATTCCACCCCACGTGTTCCCCCTGCTCAACCAATATGATTTGCTTAAAAGCGCTTTTTTTTGTCATAAACTAGGGATATTTAAAATGCTATCTGTGAAATTTTAGATTAATATTTTAAGTACTTTTTAAGATTTTCTTTTTTTTTTATGCTCAACATGTTTGTTTCACACGTAATTTGAGAGGTGAATTTATGTGACCAATCGAGCTGTTTGAGAAATTGTGTCCAAATAGATGTTGTGTTGTCACAAATGGATGTTTTAATAAACATATTTATCTGTGTTAGGTTATTACTATGAGATCCCATCAATAGGTGCCAGCAGGATAAACACTCAGGTAAATACACACTCAGCCATTGGCATGTACAGTGTGCCTGCTGCTGTTCTTGTCTTTTATCTCTGAATCCTTCCTGCTTGTGTGCGGCTCCCTCTTGTGGCAGCATGGCTGACGTGCAGGCTGCAAAATAAAACTGTTCTGTGCTCTCACCTTCTTGGCAGGAGTACCTGGATGTTCTGGGCAGACCTATGGTTAAAGCTGACAGAAAGGCCAAGCAGGTTCAGTGGACCAACGTCTACCTGGACGCTCTGGTATGTTTTCTAAAACGTCATTTGTGGTCACGTGGAGCTCAGCAGGAATCTGTTTTATATCGTCTGAAACATTTCCGATAAGTGTTTTTGTTGTCTGGTCCTCCTGGTCAACACAACTCTGTTCCAGCAGTAAGAAAATATAATTAAACTTCACTTTAAAAGATGTTGCATGAAGGCCTTTTTTGCTTCAGCTCCTGTCAAGATTTCCATTTAGGCAACAGTGTAGATAAGAAAGCAGACTGATAAAGGCAGCCAAATGGTTTGGATACTGTCAGACACTGTCAGCTTTTGTTAGCATTGACCTCGTCAGCACTGAAATGTGTCTGCCTGGGAAAATCTTATATTTAAGCTGCAGTTGCGGTTTTTCCAATGACGTAGTGACGCCTACGAGACATGAATGTCATCAATCACAAGGAGCTGTACAAAAACAGATAAATCAAAAGGAAATATTATGTAAATCTATGCCATGAGATTTGACTTTGATATGGATAATTGGCTCAAATACTTGACATATGTTCAACATGTTGTGTGCTTGATCTTTTAGGAGCTCGGCCTGGTGATCACTGGAACGCTGCCTGTCTTCAACAAGACCAACACAGGCTCAAAGGTATCCAGAAAACCGCTTTTGATTTCTTATGTTCCTCATTTTATTGAACTTCTTTCTAATTTAATTTCGTAATAAACTATATTGGCACAGTTATTACCTCTTTATAACTGTTTTACGCTAGTTCCCAGATTGCCTCTTCGCTGTCAGCTCAGGCCGTCTTCTTTTGCGTCCGTCGTCTTTGCAGTCTGACTGAATTTACTGTGTGTCTGACACTTTGACCCCACGGGAGAATTAAAGTCTGTGGTTTTGGGGACACACTGTAATGTTTACCAGACCGAAAAAATAAACATACAACATGAATCCTTCTCTATCGTCCCTGACTTTTATCCTCGGCTTTCTTGTGGCTCTTCCTTACGTCCGCTGTTGACGCTGAGCTCCCTCGAAGCTCTCCGCAACAAGGGAATCTCTGATGTCACCCAGCAAGGAATCAAAAAGAGATCAAACCTGCAGATCAGAGTGAGAAATGATCCGGTAGCTAAGTGCTTCAAGATGAGTTTACATGTCTACTTCGAAGGGACTCAGGGTTGCCTTCCAGTATGGACTAAAAACGAGCCTGGAAATGCCTTGTCAGTGACTCATAGCGGCACGTGATGCTTTTGGGAATTGGACCGTCCAGATTCCTATTGCACCCCATTTCCTTGAAATCATTCAGAATGCACCGAGGGACTTGACTCATCCAGAAAGAACAGGACTCATTACGGTGACTCTTTCTACCGCTGACTTTTTTGTTTGTCTTTTTTCCTTTGTTTTTTCCTCTTAGAAGTCTCAAAACCAGCTCATCTTGGGTGTTATGGCCATTGATGTTTCCCTGGATGATATCAAAAGACTGACGCCTCGCTTTACTGTAAGAATGCATGCCACATAAATACACATTTCCACGTATAGATAGTAGTACATTGATGCCTGCCTTGATGTCTGAGCTTGTCATTCTGCCCTCTTTCCTCCTTTTCCCTCCAGTTTGGACCAAATGGTTACTACTTTGCCATCGATCCCAACGGATATGTCTTGCTCCACCCCAATCTACAGCCACTGGTAAGGCAGATTGTTACGGCCCAAAGAAGGCACCAACATATTAAAAAGGTGACACAGGGATCACCAATAGAATGCTAATAGTAATGGTAAAAACACGTCTCCATCTTAACTCTAAAAACTTAGGCTTAAAACCTTTTGTTCGGAATGCAATATTTCTATTCAGGTGCCAACACCGAACTAAAAGAAATCTCACCCACCGAAGTCCAAGGAACGAAAAACCGATCCCGCCGGGGCAAACAATCTAAAAATAAAAAGGAAAAGATGCCAGGCCAGCATCAGCGAAAGCTGCCAACGTGGCAGTTAGGCTGCGAGGGCGCGCACGGGTCCGAGGCGCGCCGCAGCTAGGAGGAGCCTGTAGGGAAGCTGGTTAGGAGGCAAGAGAGCAAGAGAGAGCAGAACAGAACGGCAGCTTATTTATAGGCGGAGCAGTGGCTCTATCATTTACCATTAAAAAAAAAACTGAACTAAACATGCTCCCCTGAAAAAAAATACTAAAATGTACGAAAAACGAGCTCCAATAAACATAGAACGAGGGGAATATATGCAAAACTAAAGAAAGGGTAAAAAATGTGCCCCCAGCACATAACACAGATCAAATTAAGAAGCACCAGATATTTCCTTTGTCTGTGGTCTGTCGAATGTCATTTTCACAATTGAGTTTGCGCCAAAGATCTGGTTTATTCGCTAGAACCCATTTATTGCTCATTAGCATTGTCCAACAGTCATTTGGTAACAAAAACACAGCATTCATAATTACCAGCAGACTTTTCAGAGTGAGAACACAGAGTTTCAGTGTTTTGCAGCTCATATTAAAAACCCATCGAGCTGCAGCAAACCCATTATTACATGTTAATAAAAGTAACTTTGCAGAAATGTTCTGCACATTTTAGCATGGAGCTGCTCTTTGCTCAGCCTGACCCATCTCTGCTCTCACCTCAGTCCCCAAACTAATGATGTTTGTATCATTTGGCCGACTTTGTTTTTTGTGTATCACGATCAAGTGGCCTCGGGAGGATGTTTGTTGCAGCAAGGCAGCATGTTTCCCATTGACCTTTGAGGTACGCGCCTTTCTCGTAAATTACGTATGCACACCTTTGTAACAGATGATTACAACGGAGACAAATTAATACATCATCAGATCCCTTTTTAGAATCTGTTTTTGGAAACAGAAGATCAATAACTAGTGTTTACTATTTGACTGGTCCTTCTTTGTACTCTCAGCCCACTTATTATAAATTCTTGTATGTAATACTGACTAATTGTTTGCGTTTCCGCTCAGATTGCCAAGTTTGACGAGCCTGTAACACTGGACTTCCTGGATGCGGAGCTTGAGAACGAGATCAAAGTGGAGGTTTGGGAAATAGATTATACTTAATCAGAATTCCCCAGTGTAGCGGAATTATTTACTTATTTTTGTGCTGTTTGGTCACCAGATAAGAAAAAAAATGATCAACGCCGAAACAGGGAATTACACTATATCGACACTGGTTAAATCTCAAGATGAGGTAACTGTAGTCGATGACCTTCAAGAAAACGATAACAGGATCTGTTCAGACATGTGCATGTTTACTGACCATGCTGTCTCCCTCAAAGCGCTACATCGACCAAGGTCTGAGGACGTACACCTTTGCACCAGTGAAGGGGACCGACTACAGGTAAACAACATTGTTTGAATAAGCCTTGAGCGATGATAGACACGATGCATCACGACAGAACGCTTTGCAAACCTCACTCCACAAATACAAGTACTGCAGATGTTTTGCATTAACACACTTCTCAAAATATTTGTCATGAAGCCATTCGGTTCTCCTTGAGACAGGAGTGTGGTCTGAGGATCAAGACAAAGTCCAGACACAGTTTTGAGCGACGTAGGTGAAGCCAGGAGAGGCTGGTGTTCACAACCTATGCGTGCTGTTTGGAAAACGATGGTGAAAAATGCTTCGCAGGACTCGCAAGGAAAAAGCTGTGTTTCTTGCTTCTTCTTCTTCTTTTTTTTTTCACTGTTTTTATCCTCTCTCAGCCTGGCCCTGGTGCTTCCTGAGTACAGTATGCATTACATCCGTGCCACAATCGGCGACACAATCACCCAGGCAAAATGTAAGTGCCACTCTAAATCAGCTCAATCTCTTGTGCCCTTCTTGGATTTTCCACTCAGTTCCATTTACTTTCCATTTATACGGAGCGTAGACAAATGGCGCTGTGTGGAAAATGACTGCTAATGTTCTCCTGTGACATTACTGCTTTCCATGTAAGGGCTCAGAGACACTTGTGCCTCAGCTTATGGTTCCTATCTATCATTCACAGCACCCCCCACACACACATGTACATCTATACATATACATTTACACTCCTCCATGCCCTTGCCTCTTGTGTTCCTATGGCAATACACACCCCTCAGTTGTGGTGCTGTTTAAAGTTTCTGACACCAGACAGCGGGACGAGCGGCTCCAGTGTCGCCTTTCACACACACACACACACACACACACAGCACTCATCAGTTCATTTAAAGTGTGAGGATCTCACTGTGTGTGTCTGCAAGTGGGTATTTTGTGTGTTCAGTCCTACTAGGTAGTGTACGCTGGATCAGAGGGTCCATATGTGTGGCATCGACGTCTCATGTCTCTCTTCAGCTCTGTCTGTTCCCACTAGTAAAAGATGTCATGGACTCTTAGTGTTACTCAAAGGGCAATTTTATTGTGTGTGTGTGTGTGCATGTGTGCAGTTACGATGGAGCCGTCCCTGCTCAGAGTCTCTCTCTTGTGAATTTTATAGATGCATAGTTGCTTTTGCGCTCGCTACACAAACTTACATTTTTATCAGCTATTTGTAGAAACATACATTTTTTGACCGCTTTCATGCTTCTCCTGCAGCACATAAAAAAAAAAATCAGCTGGCAGAGACTTTTAAGTTGACATGAAGCTGGTGATCTATCACAGTGAGCGTTTTGTTTTTTTTTTTTCACATCGCAGTTTCCTCGGAAGAGCTTTGAAGGTTTTTCCAACATCTGAGATTTCCATGTCGGCTGCAGGAGGTCTGTTGTGAAAAAGAAAAAAAAAAAAGAAATTAAAAGACATATGTGGATGTTGTTAAAATAATCTACATTTTTTATGGCATTACAGTGGTTGTTTTGCAGCTGTCTCCAAAAGTTTAAGATGGCAGTGAGGGCTGCAATCAACCATTAGTTTCATTTTCCGTTAATCTGGCTGTTATTTTATGAATAACTGATTAGTTGTTTGGTCTGTAAAATGTCAGAAAATGAATAAAAATGTCCTCAAAGCTGAAGATGACATCCTTAAATGTAACTACAACCCAAAGATTTTCTGTTTACTGTCAAAAAAAGGAGTAAAAAGAGCAGAAAAATTAAGAATTTACACCTTTTTGACAAATAATTTAATAGTTTATTAGTTAATTATTGCAGCTCTAATGATAGAGCGTGCACACAACAACAGCAGGAGGTAATAAATTCATAATAAAAAGAAGATGTTTGTTTGCATCTTAAGCACATTTAAAGTCTCTGCAAGTGAAGTTTGTGGCCAAGGCTGACTTGAATGCTGCATGCCTATAGTTACTGAAAACATGTGATCCCATTAGCGTGGTCCTTTAGCATTAAGGCGATATAAACATCCACACACGCATTCATATGAACAATCACTCTGACATTTCCACATGTTTCTCTGATGAAAGCAGAACCTACGCTCTCACATCTGATTGTTTCATGTCATTGTATAGACTTGCATTAATTCCCTGGAACCTCTCTACAATCTACGATGTGTGTCCAGCAAATTAAATCTAAATTTAACGCAAACTTTAGAGTGAAAGCTGTTGCCAACATGGAAATAAGTTCCCACAATGTGACTGCATAAACAGATTTTCATCCACACGTCATTACACTCACCTCAACCGAAACTACCCAAAACAGCCCTTGTATTTTCCACCAGTTGTTTACTTAAAGTGTACGTGTTTCCTACTTCTGTATACAATATTCTTATTCAATGTCCATTTGAATAAAATATTGTGTAACCCTGTTGGCTTATTTCCTTTCCGACTCTCTTTTCCAATTCCCTCTTTCCTCTCCTCGACTTTTTTACCCTCCTCCTGTTCTTCTCCTGCCCTCCTCAACTCTTGACCATTCCTTGGTGTGTTGGACCCCCTGCAGCATTTTTGGGCAAGTATCCTCCTCCTGTGCTTTACCTCACAACCTCCCCCTCCATCTCCTCCTTTCTCTCACGCCGCCAGCAGACTTTGGATGTAACTTCACTTCTATCTCCGTTCGCTCTGTGTGGCGTTGCAGACTCACAAAAGCTGTTTTTCTTCATTTACTGGCTTCTGATTAATAATGACAATTCTGTTACACTGAATCAAGTCGGCGTTCCATCTCCGAAGCAGCGCTTCGCATGCAATGCGTGCCCGCGGTGTGCGTCGCAGACAGTGTGTGTGCGTCTGTGTGTGTGTGTGTTTAACCCCCCACCTGTTCCAATGGCCCTCAGATGTGGTTTTGGCTCTAACCCACTGTAGCAGCAACAACAGAGGACAGGATGTTTGCATTATTTAAAGGTGAAGCCATAAAGGAGAAAGCTGTGAGTCTGTACCCAAAACATGAGTTTGCTGTGTGTCTTTGTTTTTTTCGGTTTTCTCTTTTTTTTTTTGACTCACTTTACAACCTTGTTAAATAACTCCTAATGAAAGGCAGGATCCCTCTTAACACACTAAACTTGGTCTCTTCTGTCTGTCCCACTGCGTGCCTCGTCATCAGTTTTGTCTTGTTAGCGGGCGTCGAGTCTCCGCAGAACATTGTTAAGCTCTGTGGTTTATCTGAAACTGAAGCCTGACTTGTGTGTTTTATTCCCTCTCAGAGGCTGAAAATACTGTAAATGTCAATTTTCAAAACTCAAGTGAAGTTGAAAACATACCATGTCCCAAATCCCCACATCTATTTGTCATGCGTTTATTAAGTCAGTTTAGGTTCTTGTCTTGCATGTTTCCGTGTGGGAGACTGATTCCTGGTGACACCCGTTCTTATTTTGACAGTATTTTTCATTTTGAATCCGTTCGCAAAACTAGCAGGAATGTCATCGTCGGCGCAGAAAGGCGTGCGAGAGCGCTGGAAATAAATTCACTCGTCACTCCCCCAAATCTCTCAGCTATACATCATCATTAGATGCTTTGTTGGATTAGAAAGCAGGGACCAGATATCAAAGCGAAATCACATCGGTGCAATTATTTCCCAACCGTGATCACCAGAGAGGACAAATTGTCATGAGAAACTTTTGCTGTGTCGAATAACCAGCAGTCGACACAATGTGCTTCAGAGAATGTCAGACTAACCGGTATTAATATTCCCCAGTTCATTTCAACGGACGCTATTGTAATGCAAATTTAGTGTAATATGTGAACAGATTTGCTGGATCACCAAAAGAATGCTAATACTAATGCTAAAAACACATCTCCATCTTAACTCTAAAAACTTCTAACCGCACTTTAAGCCTCTCTTTATGTTCTCCATCAGCACTCTCCATTTACATCCAAAGGCTTAAAACCTTTTGTTCGGAATGCAATATTTCTATTCAGGACTTGCTCTGTGAATAAAATATTGTCACCTCTGACCCCTGTGGTTTTACCCTGTCTTTTTTCCCCCCCTTTCTTTTCCCTCCCGTCTTTACCTCCCCGGGGGATGATTCTCTTGTTCGCTCACTCTCTCTCTGCTGGGATTTTTTCCACTCCAGGGAAAGATGGCAAGTATTTTTTCTTTACTTTCATCTCTCGTGTCCTCTTCTTGAGCCTTGTCGCTCCTTTTTACCCAGCACGTCTGCTTCACTCAGTTCTGGTCCTTATTTAAATCAGATTTTCAGCTGTCTGTGCAGTGTATTCTTTCTGAGCCTAATTTGTGATGTAGCCCCTTTTTAATGTTCCTATTTTATCCTTGTTCGTGAAAACCCCCTTTACAAAGCTACCCTGCATTACTTTAAGCAGTTCAGTGTTAAATTTGTGCAATAATGGAGTTATTCTGTCTGACTGTCAAGGGAACAAATCTCATTTCAGTTTGTGGTCGCTGTTGGATTCTTTCTTAATGGTGCAAATATTCAACAGGTGTTGCTCTCTGCCCAGAAAAGCACCATCTCATCTGCATACAGTGTTTCTTTCAGCTTAATATTAACCTGCTTTTTGTTGGAAAACTCATAATATTTTACACTTACCACCAGTTTCTGAAAGCCTGATGGCAGACAAGTTTGACGAATACGGCTACACGTTCATTGCACCGAGGTAAGATGATGTTTGGTTGATTTTTTTAACATCACAGCTTTGACTCAGGACGACTATAAAGTTGTGTTGTGTCCCGCAGGATGTACTGTAAGGACTTGAAGCCGCCTGACAAGAACATGAACAACACCGAGTTCCTCATGGAGTTTAACAACTACATCGACACCAAGACTCCAAACAACCCCATGTGTAAGTATAATAAAATACAGAAATGTTCGCCAGGAATTCTTCTTTCCATATTTCATGCTCCTGGTTCCTGTGACATTGTCCCTGAGCAGCTTTTATTCTGAACCTCCCCAGCCTCACTTGGACCTCGTTCTCACTAAATTCCTATTTACATCTGACAGTATTTGCTATAATATGTTTATGTGAATAAATCTCCGCCATCTGGCTCAGCATTAAGGTGTGCATTTAACATTTAATGGAAGAGCGCCAACCCCTGAACCTATTCCCAGAGGTCTCTCTTTCCAGTGAAATACAGGTCTGGCTGGATGGTTTGGTGTGCATGACCAAGCAAAGCTTTGTAATGTGGAACCCCTGTGTTCGTGTTACCCATTTGATGCTAACTCTAAAAGTCTGACCATCACACGCCTGACTGCACATGTGTGAGGCACGTCGGCTTAGATGTGACACACGCGCGCTCGCACACACACAACATTCGGCAGTAATACGCCTTCCACACCCCACCTATAGCCGCTCGACCTCATCCAATTACTGTGTGTTTGTGAGAAAGAGCAGGACACGTCAAGCCGAGAGCGCGAGCGGAGCAATAAAACACAAATCAGGGGCCAGTGGACCTTCTCCCCAACATCTGACCAACGCATTAACATCCTCGCCATTTCTTGCATAAACTCATCGATATGAGTCACTCCTGAGTAAAACAAAAGGTCCCCAGGTATTCATAAAAGAGCTCCTTTATTGTGTTTCACAGTATAATTTGATGGTGTGCGTTTAGGAACTCACTTCAAACATCTCGACATGATCAATCCAATAAAACTTTTCACCCAATTGAAATATTACTTTCACCGTTATTAGCTGCTAGTTTAATGGAGTCCACAGAGAGAGGGAGAGCGAGACGGGAGTTCGGCCCATGTGGACGTTTCGGCGGCTCGAGCATCGTTACACGCTTTGCTTGGTTAAGCCACTGCAGTGGCGAATAAGTTGAAGTACATTAGGAATTCCTGGGCTGCCTTCAATAAAGAATCCCTAATGAAAACCACCGCACGGGCAGGGGGAAGGTGGGGAAGGAGGGAAATAAAGTGTTACACCAGCTGTTTTCTCTGATGTGTGTGGTGTGTCATAAAGGTTGGAGGAGGTGGAGGGGTGGGGGTGGGTGTATCGACGAGCCTCGATGTTAATGGACTGAAGCGGGTTGTCGGAGGGTTCAAAGAGGCGGGCACTGCCAAAAAAAAACTAAAAAATGGCCGAGCGGCATTTATCGCCTGTTATGTTTGTCATGTGGTCTTGTCGGATGTCTGCAAAAATCTTTTCTTACACCTTCACTAACCTGCCACCTCCGCCACAACATTAGGCTTGTTCCTTAATAGATTGTTGTAAATTGAAATACATATTTCACAGCTTCGGTGTCTTCATAAGATTGTGTCTGTTCTTAATTTTAGGAATCTTTTCTTCAAAGAATGACTTGAAAAAAAAAAAATCTCATCTTCCAGATTGCTTCAATTTTGTTCCTTCAGTTGTGCTCACACTTGGACATTTTAGGTGCTTGTAGGTTTAGTAATAGGTCAACTGAACTCAATTCCATTTGCATTTCATTTGGATGCCTAAAATGTGATGTAAATGTTAGAATATTTCCACCTTTTCTTCTTGCTTTCTGGATCCTAAGTTAAATCCTGTTTGTTTATTGGTTTTCTTTCCTTATCTTCCTATTCTCACATCATTAGTGTTGGCTGTTGATGGTCCTCACGCATTTATTCGTCATCTTCTACCAGATTGCTGTTACTCAGACTTTGCAGGCTATTATTTTGAAAGAACTAAAAGGGAACTTCAGACTATAAAGATGAGACATCGATGTGTTGCTTCTGATCGGAAAGCAGAATCAAAACCAGTTCAAGAAGTGACACGTCAAGGCTCATGTGATATCTTCCTCTTCAGGTAATGTGGAGCTGGTGAACCGGTTGCTCCTGGACGCTGGCATCACCTCGGATCTCATCAAGATTTGGAAAGGAAACGACTTGCAGTGAGTGAAGCACCAATATTTGGTGTTTGGTAATGAACGTCAAAAATTGAACACAGATGGGTCGGGGATTTCAGCATCACCAGTAAATGTCGAGCAGACACAAAGCACATTCCAAATTTTTGTAACTGCGTGTTTTACAGCTTTATTTTCTCTGCTCGTCAGGCTTGGTGTCCTGGCCAGATATGTTGCCACTGACGGAGGGATTACGCGGGTCTTCCCCAAAAGGTATTTGTCAAATGATGACAGAGGGGGGTTGATTTAGGAGCGTGGGAAGGAGGAGATAATAAATAAATGTTTGGGATTATCTGATAAATAATAATGATGTGGTCAACTATGAAAGCTACAACTTCCCCATGTAGTGCTTTATGTTTTTATAACTAATGGCACAACATCAGTTTCCTTCCACTGCTGCATGTCTGTAGTGAGTAGAGTAACCCAGTGGCCCTTACATTATCATCCCTGGCTACTTCTCCCAGCTCCTCTTGGGGAATCCAATGCTTTCCCAGGCCAGACTGGATATATAGTAACTAGAAAAAGTTCTGGGGCCCCTGGGATCCTGCCAGCAAAACATGACTAGAATACCACTACAAAGAAGCGTTCAAGAGCCATCCTGTTCAGATCAAATGGTTCCTTTCAGTGCAAAGAAGCAGTGATTCTACTGTGATCTCGCGCAGGATATCTGAACTTCTCACACCCAAAGTGCAATACCTAATCACTACCTAAAGCCCAAAATCAGTGGTATGTGTTGAAAGATACACTGGCCTCTTAACTGAGAACCTGTGAGACCAGTGGTTTCAACGTCTTACGGTAACATGTTACATGTCAAGAGTGTTTAAGGATTCCGAGGCTTAGAAATGTATCGCAGGTGGCAATAAGATTGATGAGATTAATCTTAAAAACAGAAATTACACAGAGGTTATATATGCAGTGTTCAAGTTCAGACAATTGAGCGGGATTACCCTGAAAGAAGGGGATGTAAATAAATACATCACCTGCATAAGAGTGCACTTAAGAGCCATATTCATAAAAGATATTTTCAGGAGGAAGCTCGAAAAGGGAAACAACATTGGGCCCAACAAAAACACTTGAGGAACCCCTTAAAGGAGATAATGGCTATAAAGAGATGGTTGTATAAATATTTATAAATTATTCCCATTCAGAATAGGAAAAAGTAATTTAAACTGGAAATAGTTCTATAGGTGTATCGGGTGTGGTGTGTTTTCTTGATGATGTTAACACCTGTGTGCGTTTTTGTGTTTGTGTTCGTCTGACAGTGCTGGGTTTGAATGGGAAGAAGAAGCAGAGACGTATGAGTCCAGTTCCTATAAGCGCAGTTTGGACAATGATCTGTACATCTTTACTCCATCACCTAACAGTACCAGTGAGTAACAGCCACTGTGTTGCACATACATATAATTTATATATATATATGCTATATCTATGAGGTGTGATCAAAAAGTTCTGAGCCTGCATCTTTCCAAACCCAAAACTGTACCTAATTCATTTTAGGCTGCCAGTCGTCACCTTTTTCTCCTGCCATGCTTAGAACGCTTCACGGAAGTCTAGTTCTTTTGCATATCAAGCATCATCTGTGACACATCTGTATTACTGTGGCACTCAGGGAGTCCAATTTATCAAGAAAGCTGATTCAGGAGCAATGGTTGTGTTGGCATGACCAAAAAAAAAAGCATTTTTGTTTACCTCAGACTCCGCAGTAGGTGAGAGTGGAATTCTACACTGAGAGTTTGACCCTGGGGAACAAATACACAGCACACAACCCTAAAAACGTTGAAGAAAACGAGCATCCTCTTGGTCCATTCCTGATCTGACACTCTGTGGTTTAGTCTCTGGGTCTTAGCTGAGGCCCCACCTTTCAAGCTTAGACCATCCCAGGACCGTTTATGAAGCTCCTCACAGACTTTCTTGTACATTCATATAACACAGTTCCCGCGCTATTGATCGTGCAACGTCATGCACCATCCTGACCCTCGAGATACATCCTTCACACTCGTTACACGTGCGTGTCTGTGCTGCACTCAAGTTGTGGTCCTTATTTATCTGAACTTTTTGATCCCACCTTGTACATTTATTCACACTGCTGCCGAATTCATAGTTTGTGGTGCTCTTAAACCGAATACTACACAAAGGTGTTTCTGTTTTTTTTTTTTTTTTTTTTTTTTTTTTTTTTTTTTTTTTTTTTTTTTTGTTTTTTTTTTTTTTTTTTTTTTATAGATTGGCCTCATTTGTTTAAATTGGTGGTCAAAATAATGAAAACACCTGTCAGTGCAACACAATACGGCAATTCAGCAGCACCATAAACTGCAGCCTCCAAAAATCATAATAGAGTTGACAGCTCTCTCTAAATTAGTTTCAACAAAAATTGAGCATTATGAACTTCACGGAGGCGACATTTACTGCAGGACTGTTGTACGAGGCCGCATTAGTTTAGCCGGGTGCTCCTACTAAGCTGGTATGTAGTCAGGATGATTTAAAAGAATGTCACATTGTTGCGGGGACCACAATCAGCAGCAATTTAGCAACTTGTAATGAAAAGGCCAATAACATGTTATTAGCCCTGTAATAAAAATGAGTGAAGGTGCATTTTCCATACAGTGTTTCCTTTGTTGTTCTTGCAGCAAGTGACTACTCAGTCCTGGTGAGCAAAGCAGTAAACCTCAAGATTGGTGAGATCATACTTAAACCAGCTGGTAAGGACACACACACACACATGCAGACCAACATGAAGCGTATTTATATTTTAAAACCCAATTTCTCAAGTTGTATCGTTTTCTCTGCCACCTACAGATAAACACACTCACAGCCATGCATCTTATTCGCAGTCCTACATTTGCAGCCCTGTAGCCTTTAACTATATTCACGCATCTGCCTCTCCAGACGCACTCGCAGGCTGTTATTTAATGACCACTACTCCTCGTTTGTCTATTTCTCCCTCTCTGTCTGACATGTACACACAAACACACATACACAAACCACACATCAAGTCGTCCGGTCTCCTGTGATCTTTAGCCAAGTTTGCATTTTCTAAGTTCAGAGTGTAAAGTTGACACAGAGGTCTAATATGATCTACGATCTTTTGTGTTTTTTGTTTTTTTTTATCCCAGTGGTCGGCGTGAAGCTGGACATCAGTGCGTGGATGACGAGCTTCATCAACACAACGTACAGGGCAAATGTGAGTAGATTCTATCTGGCTTGACACATGTGGCCACGCACTCGGTCCGCGCTTCTCATCGCTCTGCTCTCCTGTGTTTAAAGTGCAACGATGAGATCTGCGGCTGTCAGAGGAACGATGCGGTAAGAAGTTTAATTGCGTGTTCTTGCGGTTAAGTTATGGATAAGATCATGGGAACGGAACACGGGTTTAATCATTTCTATGTGATTCCAGTACGTAGACTGTGTCATTCTGGATGACGGCGGCTTCCTGGTGATGTCCAATCAAGAGGAATATTTAAAAAAGGTTGGATTTTTCATTTCATTCTATTCACAAAACAGTTAAACAAGGCAGAAAAAAATGATTGAAGTTGTCAGAAGAAAATAAAAAGATAACTTTTTCACTGCACTTTACACAGGGTTCAGTAATGGATCAGAATAATCTATGATTCTATAATTCATTCTGTTAGAGATTTATTAACCATTCATAGAATCATACTGCTATTTGTTCTAACTTGTAATTTCTTTATAAAGAGTGCCTTATTACAAATTAAACCTATGATTAGTTCAACAACTTATGTTTCTTTGCCTTGTCCAAATATCTGGACATCTTGGATTAATTATTGCTGTACTTATAGAGAAAACACCATTTTGTGGTTCTCATCCTGATTTATTTCAAGACAGCGTTATAATTTAATTACACCACTGCGGTATCGTGGAATGTTTGATGGATAATATTTCCTTGTGAATCATTTCTTAATTAGAGTGTAAGATTTAGGGGCATTTATGAAATATATAGATTCTTAAATTCATAATTTTACAGTAAGACCTTTTTGTGACTTCATTGAGCCGTTTGCATCAAGATTCTCTCCTACAGAGTTCACTGTGTTACGAACACCAGGTTTTAAAAGCACAGAATGAAAACACACACTGGTTCTAAAGGGGGACGTTTTTTACTTTTTTAGCGACCGCTGTAGGTTCTTCTGTTCTTTCGGCTTGCAATTTGCAACCTCACAGCTAGATGTCACTAAATCCTACACAGAAGCCAACCATCTGAAAAAAATAGATTTTTTTTGCGTCGAAAACAAAAAAGACATTAACATTTATTAGCTTCTGTCAGGGTTTTTGTTCGCAACTTTCATCAGCGAACAACAATCAGGTTTCATCAGGTAAAATAGCCAACTTGAAGCTTGAATTTGTGATATTGCATGAAAGTCATTGTAGTTTATATGCCTCATTTAAATAATCAGCAGTAGCAGTAGCCTGATTCTATGAAAAAATACAATAAAATCTGCATTCCTCAGCATAACCGAGTGACTCACCTGCAACCAACAGTCATGTGAGACAAATTTAGGGGCTTTCAGCTAAACTGGGTTTAACTGCAGGCAGTGTTTCCACAGAGCAGGAAGAGCATTAAAGAAACTTTAAGTAGTAAAATATCTATAGTATGCAAAGTTAGTTCCGTTTTTCGTTTGTTTTTTGTAAAATGAAAGTTCCGAAACATTTTTTTAAAAGTAATATTTCTTGCATTATAACTTTGTTTTACTGCAGAGAAGACATTTTTGTTTCCATAGAGGTGCAGGGCTTTATGTTGCAGTAAACAAAAAAAAAAGAGCCCACAGTGACTAAAAATGTGGCATGACCAAAAAAAAAAAAAAAAGCAAAAACTCCGAGGACATGCCTGGGATTCAGAGGGTTCAAATATTTTTTGTTAAATAATTCTTTCCAGTTTTCATCAAAGTCCTAGAAATGAACTTCCACACTCAAGACACTTCTTGTCCTCTATGAAGCGCTCGCTGACCTTGTGGAACCAATATAGTTTGGATTAATGAAATCAACCATACATTTGTAACATCTTTAACAAAACCCAGCTTAAGGATTCAATTGATACTTATTTGTCAAAATCTGTTGTGAATCTTCAGCGAGTCCCAATTTTCCTTTCACAACACTAACTGAAAACATTCTAATAAATCCATGTGAACGTCATTGTTTTGTATTAATGCACGCACGCGTCTACCCACTCCGCCGTTGTCTTACGGTAAACGCTAACAGTGGGCCCCCGCTGTGGTCTGAGTAAATGTTTTTTCATGCGGCCTCAGCTCCTTCCCAATCAGGGCTGGGTGTGCGCTGGATAAATCAGCTGCCCTCTGAAGTTTGGCAGCGGCACTAAAACCCAGGGACCTTGTTTGGAAAAGGCTGCGTGCCCTCAATCATATTTCCTTCAGGAGCAAAGTTTCTCTCTCTCTCTGTAAGCTTCTCGCCTTCTCTCCTTCTTTATGTCTTTCTCTCTCCAGCTCATTCCTTTTCTTTCTCCAAAAAAACTCCCCCCCCCCTCGGGGAGTCTGCAGCCAACAGGGCTGTGACTGTTAATTCATTATTTGTGTTATTGCACAGGGAAAGAAGAGAAGGCTCCCTTTACCGTATAGATTGGAAGATTTATATATCCTTTGGCTGTTAGACTAAAGAGGAATGGATACGTGGAGGACGGCTTGTTAACAGTGACCTTACCGAGTGAAAGGAAAAGGATAGTTTGCATTTCTTAAAGCACGCACACACCCTCACACACACACACATGCACGACTCCACATCTCCACACAGATGGATACCGCTCACTGTACGCACTCCCTCCTGGATACACAAGTACTTAAACACTTCCATGCACACAGTCATGTCACACCTCTGAGATGCCGAGACAAACTGCTTCCTCTACGTGGAAATTTATGGCCGCCTGGTGGACTGTGTTAATCAGATTATACTGAAGTCTATCATCCTGGTTTCGGGGGGTGATTTACCGTGTGTGTGTGTGTGTGAACATTTTTCTGCACGTGTGTACGCATTCTCCGCCGCCAGTATGTGTTGTGCAAAAAAATTAACTCTTGTAAATTGAAAGCATAAAAATCTTTAAGCACTCTGTAAATGAGAAATATTGAGGAAACCCCCCAGTCACCTGCGTTTATAATGTGTAATTTTAAAGGTTTGCGCTGCGAGGAAAAGTTCAAACATTTCTCAGCGGGCTCTTGTAAGTGAAATCGTTTCCCCTTATGAAGTAGTGAGGTCAGGCGCAGGCTGGTAGGTTTTTGCCTCCGGGCTCCAAAGCAGGCATGTGTCCTATTATTTATACCATGATATTGCTTAAGTCCCTGTTCCTGTTTGGATTCTTGTTTCTCCTGCATACCTGAACCCCCGCTACATAAACATTCCCAACTCTGCTCTCCCTCCCGACGTCAGATCGGGCATTTCTTCGGCGTAATCGATCCCGTCCTCATGAAAGACATGGTCAACTCGTCCCTGTACACCTCTAAGAGCACCTACGACTACCAGTCGCTCTGTGACCCAGAGGAAAAAAGCAAGGCGGCTGCAGGCCTGCGATCCGTCTACGTGGTGAGTTGCATAAGACAGAAACACACACACACACACATGGAGCCACGCACATGTACATGTTCACACCTTTCGATATCCGTACGTTTCCCTGATGCACACGCAGCCATTTCTACCTGCCTTTTCACACACACACACACACACACACACACACAGCATCACTCACCGGGGAGCCATAAATCTGGACGGAGCAGATGAGAAGGGAAGCAGAGGGTATGGTGAAAGCGTTAGAGTGGGAGTTGCAGCAACAGTAACAGGATTAGGTGGTCCAGCGTGCTTGGCTAACACAGCGAGTGATGTAGAAACAGGCGCTGTTTTTCATCACTTACAAAATGTACAACTCGCGGCGAAATGATGCAAATTATCCGCAGACAGATGAATTGCTCTCCGTGCTGGACGGTTCAGATTACAAGGGAGTTGCAATAAGCCGATACCTAATAAAAAGATAAAAGTATTCACAGGTATTTACAGTTTCAAGCGTCGCCACGTCATTTCCCGACCGCCACCATAAACATCTACAATACGCTTGACTTGGAACGACACAAGGTGGGAGGAAAGATGCAGATACGCTCTGATCAAAGACGCCGTCGACAGCCAGCGATGCCTCTAACACGGTTAGTTAGGACTTCTTGATGACTCAAGCCGCCATCGAGTGAAAAGAAAAGACTACAGCACTGATTCACCAAAACAAGGCCCTCGCATGCTAACCATAATCAAAGCAGCATGTTGGGCCTTTTATTCAAACCGTGTGCTACTTTGTTTTCTCACTGGTTCTTTGTTTACATATTTATCCTCGCATCTGTTGAGGAGGATTGTGTTCTAATTTCCTCCGAGAGGGGAGAGAATAAAATCTCTGGCTGGACCTTTTGGTCTTTGTGCCTGGCAAAATTGGACGGTCTGCAGCCACTGTAAACACAAACAGGATGTTCAGAGTGGCTTCAACCAGCTCAAAAAAATGAGTCCTTAAAAGTATTCATTAGAGATTTTGTGCTTCTCTGATATTAATTCTCATTTTGTTTGTCCCTCTCAGCCCACAATAGCAGATATTTTGAATCTAGGATGGTGGGCGACAGCTGCAGCCTGGTGAGTACATGGGTGGCATTAGTGTCATCCCTTTTTTTTTCCCCCCAAATGATGAAGAACTAAAATATACAGTAAAAGCCATCACTGTAAGTCCTTAAAGCCAGGTTCTAATGGAAAGCAGGCAAGGATTTGCTCCTCCAACAGGACATATAGCATCTGTTTAATAGCTGAATTGTTCCCAAGACAGTCAGCATTCCACAAAATCTTCTCTTGATTTATGCTCAGCTTCACTGTCTTGATGCCATTAACAGCTTGTTTTACAATACGTCCAATAAAACTGGATTTTCGGGCCGCTGACGTCGCGGCCGTACTCACAGTAACAAAGCACACATTAAGGCGTTTTTTTAATTAAACGCCAAAATTAAACGCAATTCGGCCTTTAAGTCACACATGTTGTTAGTTTAGCTCCTGTGATTTATTGTTCCAATGAATCCAGACATGTTTCATCTTTGGGATTTGTTTTTGCTCTTAGGTCAATACTGCAACAGTTGCTGGTCAGCATCACGTTCCCCAATTTCCTGGATGCAGGTGACTTCCCATTAATTTCACACATTTCGCAGCATTTAGCCAACTCAGCCCAGATGTCGTCCCCCGTGGAAGTGAAATTGTAATCAATTCTCGTTTTTAGTTGCTTTTTTAAAAAAACAAAAAGGCCTTAAAAGAGCTTGAGCACAGTAGGAACAGCTCATCTTCGGAGGATTTCAGATGTCGCACATGTGAGCCAGACCATGCGAGTGTGGAGTTGTGTATACTTTGTGCGTACACAAATGTGGTATTAGAAAATACAGATTACCAACCGCTTCAAAACAAAACCAAATAACAGGCCTTTTTCTTTTTTTAATGACGTGTGATGAAGACGTTCTTTTTTTCACTGCTCTTTGGTCCGTATGTTCGTAGTTTTGTTTTAGTTTACCAAAGTTTGGATACGTCTATCTCTGAGATTTCTGCTGCCATAATACAACGTGACAACATTACCCAGAGACGCCGGCGCATCCTGTTTCTTCATCTAAATCACTGCAAACCAATTCCATTCACCTTTTTTCTAGTATGAGAAAACTATTTGTATGGCTCGGTAATACCAGCAGTAGGGAAGAAAACTTATTTTTAATAGATCAAATGTGTAATCTTTAAAAAAATGTGATGAACCCACCAACAATTACGGCCCGACTTTGCAGTTCCCCTCTGCTTAACTGTATTATTAGCATTTTAGAGTGTTTTTTAGTGCATTACTTTGGCTTTAAAGCCCAGAATCTCCTTCAGGTTTCCAACAGACGAGAGCAAAAAAATAATGCGAATAATCTGACAATTGGTCTGCGCACTAGGTGATTGTGCAATATGTGTTCCTTTTTCTTTCTTTCTTTTTTTATTTTTTAATGAAGTAGACCAATATGAAAGGAAAAGCTTGGTTGAAAATATGGAACAGCCTTTGTTTATATATGTTTTACACACATTTAATTATAAATGAACTTTTTAGCATTACACCTTCATTGCTGTAAACGATTAGCAGCGACCTATACTAGTGTCTCCTCATGTTTGCTCAGTGTATAACTACATTTGCTGCGATGGTAGTCCATCATTATTTCTTTATTTTAAGTGTGCGTTGATAGATAAAGACCCCGAATATGTTTGCATGTCCTTGCACAGCTGAACTGGACGACGAAATATCAGATGCCATGAGGAAGGAGGGCTGCATCACGCAGCAGACTCAATACTTCTTTGAGACGGACAACTTGTCTTTTAGAGGCTCGGTCGACTGTTTCAACTGCTCCAGGTAAAATTATCCACAGGACACCTAAAACCCTTCTCGGCTACACAAGCGGGCCTTTCATGCCCACGTGCGCTGAGGGTAGCCGCGGTCCAAGTTTGAGCTGCCGCGATGAGTTTGAGATATAAATGAAGTCCCCGGCGATGGCACGAAGAGAGGGCTGTAAAAATTCACATGCCATGAAGGTGAAGTCAAGTCACTAGCGTGGACCACCGTCTTGGCATGCTTGTGTGTGCGATGTGTGTGTGTGTGTGTGTACGTACGGTGTTTTAAGGCCCCCTCGTGCCGGCTAATGGAGTGCCTGCCCGCATGCCGCGCGGCGTTCCTGCACATTAGCCGCACACACGTTTCTTTTTAACGACCGCCATAAAAAAAAAAAAGGCAGAGAAAATCATTTGTGCACCAGCGACATGTGGGTTTCAGTAAAGTTCTCGGAGGACAGTGGGGTGGCACAGCAGGTTTACGTTCCCTTAGGAATAAAAGCAGTTGACTGACTTTTCATTGTGTCCAGGAGTATTGCTTAGTCATGTACGAGGAATAATTAGTCTACTTTTTTTGCAGCGTTTTTACAGAAAACCAAAGCAACAGACCGGAATCGCTGTGTCTTCTTTTTCTCTGCTTTCTGGTTAAATATTCAACTTGGTTCATCTCTTGCGAGCATGTCTGAGTGAAACTGTATCTTTCCTGGACTCCGGCCCATGTGTCAACAACCGCTCTTGTCTCTCGTGTGTCTGTCTGCTCCTCTCCAGGCTCTACCATGCTGAAAAGCTGCCCAAGACAAACCTGGTCTTTATCATCGCTGATGCAAAAGGCACCTGCGAATCATGTGACACGAAGCGGTTAGTGCAGGACGAACACAAATGTATCCTTTTACCGAACGCAGCTATCATCTGGCCGAGAGCGTTTTGATTGAGTGAGCAGATGTCTCGAAAAAGTTTGTGCCTTCTATTAGGATAATCGCGAGTAGACGCTGATTACGACTCGTAGCCATTATCGGATATTTTCACCTCTCGCTTTTAAAAGGAAGCTTGCAGTAAACAACAGAATGTCCTAAAAGGGTTGTTTTCCATCCCTCATAACTCTCAGTAATCAGCGTTTCCCTCATTTGCGTCTTTTAAATCCCACAGCGAGCATTTCCGCAGTAATTGACATTTACAAATTGGCTCATAATTCAGATACGTCTGCGCTGGGTTTCTCTCCGAGTCTGTAAGGCAGATGGTGGTGTGGGATCAGTCTGCTGAATAGCTTACAAACAAATCTATGATGTTCTCTCAAATACACAAGCCTGTGGTCAATTACAGATTAAGCCTCTTGGAGAACACAATGCTCGAAAACGACTGCCACATCACTGAAGTATTGAGCAATCGATGCGCTCACCATCCAGAAGAGACAACTTGTTTTGGGTTTCGATAATCGTTCCACAATTATACGGGATATCCTAGATTTAGACGTTAATCGAACGTGTATTAGAGGTCCTTCTTCAGTAATCAAGATGGACAATTTTCCTCCGGTAATCAGAGATGCTGTTTGCGGCTGCTACTTCTGATACTAAATTACCCACAAGTTGTATCATGTTCCTGACTTCACTCATCCAGCTGATGGGCCTGATCCCTGCAAAGTGGCTCTCAGTCCTCGCTACAGGAAAGGGCCTGCAGTTTGTTTCGACAACAATGAACACGTAAGTTGCTGTCGTTAAACCTGGACAATGTGAAATGCAAAACATTTTTTTTGCTAATTGGTTGCTCTGTATAGGGTTTCCTGTACAGTTGATATGTGCTTATTTACATCTAACATCAGCACTCGTTTAGGGATTACCTGAGATCTGGACTACGAAGCAGGATTTAGAGCTGACTTCAGGTTTAACTTTGGTTTTTCAGGTTTACGTCTTACTATACCACATTGACATGGCATCTGATGCTACTCCAAAGCATTTTATGTTTGAGATAACAGATATAAAAACAGGCCTACTGACAAATCAGTCCTCTTGATCATGGCGTCACCGTTTGTAGAAGATCCTTTAAAGTGAGACGGCCTTTTAGGAAGTTTTTAGGGACCATCTAAACCCCTTTTTTTTTCCTTGGCTTGCAAGATCTGACAGATATAGAGTCTCAGTGGAGGGATCTCTAGTCTTCCTTGTTGTATTTTCTTCCCCTGTTGACTGCAAGCAATTTTATTGCTCTATACGCCTTCGTCTAGTGATGCAATAATAAAACCGAGACTGATCAAAGCCAAGTACATGTTGACCTTATAAGGTTTGCAACTAAGCTTACCTATTTGTTTTTTACATGCTCCAGAGACTGTTACAGCTGAAATAATAAGGCGAAAATTGTCTTACACACCGTAAAACTACATCTAAGCGGTGCATGAACTGAATGGAACGCAAAGTTGTAATTACTTGCCCTTAACTTGTCCCTTAATGGCGGGACAATGATGTTAACGTGTTTTATGTACACATTCCCACAGTCAGCCGTGTTGCTTATAGCCTGTAATATAGTTTTATATTCCCTATAGTGGTTTAGGGTTATAGTCTGTTCTTGTGAGAAATATGCAGCTCTACACCTGTTCAGGTTCAGAAACCCTCGATTGACCCACCGAGTTGAGCTTCATGAGACTGTTTAGCACAGCTGTGGTTGAGATAAGGAGAATTTCCTTGGTACTACAGCCCTTTGGTGAGTGAATAGGAGGCTAATATTCTCTCCTTTTACGTCGGTTTCGGTTCTCATTACCTGCTGAGGGAAATATTTGCCTCCTTAGCTGCTACATGCTAAACTGTGTTCCCCAGAAAGTCATTAACGTTATCTTTCTGCCGTTTGATGCCGGGCAGGTGACGTAAAGTAGAGTTTTTCCCCCACAACAGGACAGATAAGCACAGATGATGTGAACCAAGACAGTAAGTTGTGGACTTTTCTAACAAAACAATTATCTGAAAGAGGCTGGAACCTGCCGTGACGCTCAGTAGAACTGGAACGTCGAGGCGTAGCTCTAGTTGCGCCCCATTTACTTCAAACATTTGATCCATCGGTAGTCTAAAAATATTGATGAGAGCAGCTTTTACTGAGAAGTTCTGACATCTGACTTTGAGGTTCAACCAATAAATCCTTAACCAGATCAGAAATGAGGAGAGAAACATATACTGATCCAATTTTTAAAAAGTATACATGTGGTGTTGTTAAAGGAAATCACTGTGATTTTTAATATAACGCAGCTCTATCTCCATTTTCCTCCATTTTTTTTCACTTGTTTCACACATCAATATTAAAAATTTGTTCTTTTTTGATTCTTTTACCTAGAAAACGAGAGGCAGCAACAGCAAAATATTACAGACCTACGAAGCCGAGAGCAGAAAGAGTTCATTCTAGTTTTAGTCGCTGGCTGAAGTCCAAAATACTTAAGCTGCTCTCCCAATATAGAACCAATATATCAGCGAGGAAATCCTACCCATGGCACCTTTCCATTACTAATATCTTTACATGGTGCATGTCACTTCTTCCTCTTCTTTTGTTTTTTTCGAAATCCCTCAAAAGCTTTACGCGCATAGGTTTCCCATGCAAAGATAAACAGTGTGTTGTTGCTCGACTTATGAATAACTAAGCCAAACAAACAGCTTTATGAGCTGCGCGGCATCTCTGCGTGTGAAACCTCTGCGCTCGAATGCTCTGTTTGTTTTCACTCTATAGTCTTTTTCCAATGTCAGAGTCTTTAAAAAAAAAAAAAAAAAGAACTCTTGCACTGTCTCGCTCACTCACACATATGCAAACACCCACACACTAACTCCTCCTCTCGCACTCTTGCCTCTCAAAGGAATGCATCTGTCAACTATTTGTCGACTTGATCTAACTTTTTCTGCCTTCATGTTTGCTTTCTAACTTGCTAACTATGTGGACCTTTTGCTGCATGATTCTCTTTCTCTCTGTTTTCTCTGTTTCCTGCCTTGTGATTGGCTGTTGATGGTTAGGATGAGGCCATGTGCCGAAGGAGCGCAGGCTCCCCATTGGCTTCCTCTCTGCTCATGTTACTGCTGCCACTGTTCATGTGCTGTCTCGGGTCAGTCCCATGCCGCTAGCTCTCTTTCTCATTTACATTTTGTCATTATCGTATGCTTGTTCTAACAGCCTTTGGCTCGTTCCCCCCCCCGATGTTTCTCTCCTCAGTTTGTTTGCCTCACCTCATCTCCTGTCCTTTTTTTTTTTTTTTTTTTTTACATCTCTGCTTTGTTCCACTACCTCATGTGTTTTTCCATTGTTTTCCCACATTTATCCCCCTCACCTGTCACTCTCTCTTACATTGTACCATCATCCGACTTCACCTCGTCAACTTACCTCCCTGCCTCTTTCTGTCTCTTGTCATTTTCTCCGTCTCACCTGACTTTGAACTTCAAACCATGCTCTTTGTATCTTTCCCCATCTATCATTATCCGTCTCCGGCTATAGACTCTATGGTCTCTGCTGATTACTGATGTATCCAGATGCTAGCAAAAACAGACCACTCACTTCTTATTTGCATCCAGATTTTCGTCTGTCTCTTTTAATGTTTCTCAACTTGTTTTCTCTTTGCCAGAAAAATATCAAGGCAAGACATTCTTTCCCTTTTACCTCCAGATGCTAAGCATACAGAGAGTATCAGATCAGTGTTATTCACACATACTGGCTCAGAGTTTTCCAGCCAAGTATAAAAAAGTCATTTTGATGCTTTTTTATATTTTCTGACCTTTCGTTTGATCCCTTCATAGTTTCAATGGACCTTTTGCTAAACCTCACTCTCCTTAAATAGTATTGCAAATTTACAACTCGCAAGCTTTCCATTGTCACATGACACATACACTTAATGGTCCCATATCGTGCTTTTTTTCAACAAATAATGAAAGTCTTACATGGCCCTAGAATGTGTCTAATTTATTTAATTCTAATATTTAATTTTTAGACTCAAAATTCTGCTAAGATTGTCAGTTTTAACCTGACTGCATAACCCCCGGTTTTGGCCTTGTTCTAAACAGACAAGAAGAAGAGTGACACCAGGACTTTCTGCCGCTTTAAACTTTCATACTCTTTCTATCATCTGACAACAAAAACAGAATAACATACAAATGACTTAATTGGGAATTCAGCTCCATCAAAATGTAGTATACATGAGCACAGAGAGCAGGAGAGAAGTAAACAGAATACGTTTTGGTTTTGCCAAAACACTACCAGTGACATGAAACCCACCCAGTCCTTGTTTATTGGTTCAAATCTGTCTTAGTCTCCACCATCTCCTTCAGCTTTATCGTTTCCAAAGAGTCCTAACGTTAGCCACATTCGCTGCATGATGCGCTACAGATTTGGTGACATTGCCATCAAACCCACTAGCTCCTCCGATGCTGGGAGCGCATAAAGACCCCTGTGTCCATTTTTTTTCAGCCAGCAGCAAGAGATTTAATGTGCTTTTCTCGTAGAGTTAGCAGAAGCAGCTCGAGAAAGTAAATAAACCTGGTAGGCAGTGAGGAGGCAGGATTATACAAGGTTTGAGCTGGATGGCAATTAGGATACTGTTTTTTAAAGAGCTTTTACTTTACATGTCCAAGGTTATAACAACAAAACACAAATAAAAATGTTTTATACCATATGGGACCTTGAAGTGCTGTTTACAATGTTAAAGAAATACAGAAAACAGGCTTCGATGACTGACACTGGCCGCCTTCATCCACTAAAAAACAAGCTCAGATTGATGCTCATATACAGTTGTAGTAATTGTCTGCTTAGCTTACATATTAATTCAATGTTTTTAGGCAGAACATTTGAATTTTAACATGGACGTAAAGCTCAGATACTAATGTATGGCAGCTACTGTTCAACACTCCAGGCAGGTCAGGTGAATTTCCAGGGAAACCACAGATACATATCTGTGGTATATACAGATATGTATCTGTGGTTTTCCTTGGAATGTGCCTGATATATTTGTTTTTAGTCAAATATTTTTACACTTAGTAGCACAGTATGTACAAAAATGATATATTCAGTGTATGAGCAGGGTGTCAGTGTGACAGTTAGATATTCTGGTGCAACAGTTTTCTATAGCTAAAAATAAAAATACTAGTAAAATGACTTTAAGGAACACAAAGCATTTTTAATAGTAATAATAACAGGGTTTAATATCAACAGTCACTTCCATTCATTCATGTACGCTTATGAGAAGATGACTTCTTACCATATATCAAATCAACAATTCAGAAGACTAAAGTATCGTTTCACCACTGAAATAATATTCTATTATTCTTGGTTTCAGCTTTTCTTTCATTATAACAACCAAATGTAGCCTGGCGTTTTCTGCTGTTTGAACTGGCTGCAGCCCCGCTGCTGATGATCTGCTGAAGCACTAGTTTGTCAGTTAGTTGGACACAACAGCGCGCCTTATATTACAGCAAACTGATCAATCAGCTTCTTACACTTGTGCGTTCTGTTATTGGTGGTTTTTTAAAAAAGGCCAAAAACTACATCCAAATTAATTAAACGTTGAGCGTAGCACTTACTAAAAACCGCCACACATCACGTATCACTTCAGCTCCTGGAGGAAGGCAGAGCTCGGAAGGCCTGAAGTTCAGAGTCGCTAAGCTTTGATTGGATAATAACTGTTCGGAGGAGAGGTTTAGCAAACGGTCAGTTGTTAAGTGTTTATTGTGCTGTTTTTAACAAGCAGTAACTCGTTTTCCTCCCTGCTTTGGCACCAGGAGGAGGACCCTGACTGTGGCGGGGTGTCCGGCCTGAGTCCCTCTCTGTGGCTCACGGTTGCCCTCCAGCTGTTGCTGCTCTGGGTTGTGACTGACTCCAGACACCACGCCATCCCATCATGACCTCTGAACAAAGCCCCAATCGCACCCTCTATCTCCCTTTCTCCGTACCTCCAACATGGCAACCAGCATGCAGCGCTGCCACTGACATGAGGAACGCCCGACGAGAAGCGCTTGTAACAAACTTTAAAAAAAAAAAAAAAAAAAAAAAACCTGTGAGCCCCACATTCTGCCAGTTTTCTTCCTTTGACGCCTTTATTTTCAGGGGTTTCTCAAAGTGATTTCACAAGGGTACAAGTGACGAAAGAAATGTATATCAGAGGATAATGATTTGAATGATAAGAAAAGACCTCGACCTATCCCTTTCAGTGGTCCCCGCCAGCTGAGATTAGAGGAATCCAGAGATTCGTTTTGATTGGCGACTTCTGAACTTTTATCTGGCTGGATGTCAATGATGGGAGAGATTGGACTGCCTTATAGTATCAGAGGAATTTAAATCACGATGGGGGGCGGCGGGGGGGGACTTGCTGTTTATTCACGATGTTGAGCAGTTTTATTCACCACTGCTAGAAACAGCACCGCCCTTTGCAGAGACTTTACTTTGAATCGATTTGCAGTGGTTAGTTATTAGGCATTTATTGTTTGTTTTTCTGATTGAGGATTTGGCAAAGATTTCAGTAAGAGACGCCAAATTGTTACATCACAAGCTCTTGCCCTTCGTCCGCCTCAGCTGGGTTGCTGATAATAATGTTGTCTCAGTCTGATTTTTCTTTTTTTTTTTCAATAACACCACCCAGAACATTTTCACAGTGTCTCTGAGGGGTGTCGTCTTCACTTCGCTCCGCCGTGCTTTCGTGTAGATACCGTATTTGCAGTGTGGAAATCATGTTCATTGTTATGTTTATGCACAAAAGCCAACCCTTCTACTGCCACAGAGCACTTGTTCCTGAGTGTACGGATTTTAACTTTGCAGCTGATCATCTTACTATCAGCCCCGATCGGAAGTGGTAAATGTGTCTGGATTTTCAGGCCCTGATGTCGGATTGCTCCGAGGAAAACTTTGTTGCCATAGCGCGCATTGACCAATCAGGATGAGCGCGGCTGGTGTTCCTGTGCGTGCTCATTGGACAAAATCTCTAGTGCCATGTGGACTGCGTGACTCAGACGAACCCTTTTTAGACTGCGGCTGCCGAATGGAAAGAAATGTAGTATTTAATTATTTTACTATTTACTGGTTGTTTGAACTAAGTGTCAGGACCGCGTTTTACTGTTTGTTTTATCGCCACCATGAAAGAATCTGAACAAGGGTTGGAGGAGAATTTGTACTCGACGAGTTGGTCTAAAAAAAAAAAAAAGGGAAAACGGTACATGTGTATTCACTGCTGTCACTTTTTAAATTAAATGACTACTATCTGCACTGCAATTCAAAGTGCAGCTGTTATTTGTCTTTACAGTCTGGTCTCCTCGCTGAAGAACTGAATGAATTTGCAGTTTGTTCTACTGTGATATCACCGAGTGTAAACCACTACAGAGCAGCGGTCGGTCCAGGCTTACCATCCTTTTGACTCCCGTATTTCCTATTCTTGCAATATAAGTTTCATTTTGTGTGCCTTCTTCTCACATTAGTTACAAAACCTACCTAAAGTCATGAAGAAAATGTGCTGATTCTACTGTAAATGGTTTTAATGGAATAGTGTCAGCGACATAGATTTGCTTCTTTTTTTTTTAAATATATACACTTATCAGTCAAACCACTGCTTCAAAGCTAAAGAAATCTGCCAAAATAATACAAAATAATTTTCACAGGACCAAAACTGGACTCTTAAAGCAGCTAAAAGTTGGAAGAAATCAAACCACTTAATGGATTTCAGGATGTTCTTAAGATGCAACATGTGGGAACCGACTTCCTGAGTTTATGTATTTACAAAGTCTTGAGGATTAGTACAATATAAAGGCTGAAAACGTGGCTGTGATTATTTGAAAGTTTCATTTTTACTTCAAACCAGCTGCACTTGATGCAGTTTCATCATTATTTCTGCTGTTCAGACCTGACCGTCACAAGTTAAAATCATTCACCCAGTCTATATTCTACGTGTGAAACCTCATCAGTTCACTCAGAAGGCAGAGATGCGCCAGAGCCGCAATCATTGTGTGACTTGATATCTTTCGGGATGAACGCCACGGTTTTATCGCCTAATTACACCTCCCCAGAAACCACCAAAATATCTTTCCAGTGTACGGTTACACTCGAATATGTTGCTACATGTTGAGCATTGGCGTCAAATGTTACATTTCATTTGAACATTCAACACTTATCTGTGTTTGGCATTCAACACATCAACAGGGGATGAAATCTGAGGACGCTAGTTGCACCACTAAAACAAAACCAGGGAGGGCAAGTTTGTAATCTATAAACACTCACGGATGTTTGCAGGAAGTTACTTAATACTGTGGGGAAGTGAAAACCACATAATGAAGCTATGTGCATCACGTTACCACTAACATTTGCTTCACCCCCCCTCAGACTTCTGGTTTTCGCTAAATAATCACATTACGCTAAATAATGTCCGTTTTTATATAATAAGCATTCTTCCGTGTCAAATCGAGGTATTCTAGCTGCAGGCATCTTTTGTGGCAACGCTTCACCGCCATCATTAAATCGTCATCAGTAATTTTCCGACTAGTCTAAGGTGCACACTTTACTCCCTCTATCTTTAACTATAACCGTTCAACAAAAACAATGTGGTGAAACTAACATAGTATTTATGCTCCTCTTTTACTAACTCTCAAGAATATCAAGTGCCATACACATTAGGACTCTTATTCTCTTGTGGAGAAACCTATTATCGTAATATCACATTTATGCAATGTTACCAAGGCAAGATGTAAGTCTCATAAATTGTTTCCCTGTGCTGCATGGTAATGGCTGATAATCTTTCTTAACAAAACTATCCGGTGTGCTCCTGCTTTAGTGTGTAATGTTGGGAAGCATAATCTCCTGAGTGTCTGGCATTTGTTCGTGATAATAATAAGGTATGATCAGCTAATACTGCCGTTCTCTTGGGGAGACAGCATTTGGCTCTGCCCTGAGTCGGCTCGGGAAAGCGAACCTGATTGGCCAGCGTGATGTTTGAAAGCGCTCCTGTCTAACTGACGGGTTCAAGCCATGTGTGAATCACTCCAATTTAAAGGACCATACCAGTGATTTAGCTCATTTACTGAAAATCACGAACCCTTTACATTACTGCCAACTATTTTGCAAACCATGCTGTAGTGTAGAGACCACCACAGAAACAGAAACATTGGATGGTTTGCCATTTCACCTCAAACAGAAATTGATGGAACCCTGAAGATGGACCCTAATTACTTTGTTGTTCCCTTAACATTTTAATGTCAATTAATTCCTTGATTGGGATGTGAATCCTTATTACTTTATTGTTTCCTTGACTTGATTAGCACCATGATTAGGTTGTGAGTTTTCGTCATGTATACAAAGATGGACAAACCCTCCATGACATCCATATTTTTCCGAAAAAGTGTTTCTTTCTCTTACTTAGCTTGTTTTGTTACGATGGGATTGACCTTGGCATAATCAACGACAGAAGCTCCCAAGACAACACTTCTGTCTTTAACAGACAAGTTAAGCCATGTTTAGGAGCCTCCTCAATCATTTTCACTTCCTTCCCAATAGGAAGTTCCCTGAGTACATCCAGGTTAGCTTGGTTAGCTGCTCAGTTTTTTAGGCTTGACATAGAGTAGTACCTTACAGAAAGCAGTTGTGGCTGCAGTCTGGATTGTGGTACTTCTACATAGTAGTAGTTAGACAATTTGTTCTGAACCGTTCCTTCAGCTATCCAGGTTTTTGTTAACTCGGTAGATGATGTTTGTGTAACTCAGGCTAACGCATCAAGGCGAGCCTGGTTGGTGTTAAGCTAGCATTAGCCTATCAGCAGCCACTACTGAGGTCACAACTGACATTTATCAGTCGTGAGGAGGAAATGATGGATGCCGAGTCCTCAGTCATTTTCCCGAGTAGCTCCTCAACCGTGATGAGAAATAGTAGCGTAGCAAGGAGTTGGTAGGTGATGGCAACTCTGACATTCTTAACATTAATGACATGGAGGAAAAGTAGCATGACTCCACCTTCCTGGCCCACTCTGTTATCAAAAACAATCAGGGATTACGTCAGGTAACCCAGCATTTTTGACTCAGTGTGGTGACTCCTGCAGTCACTATCTAGGCATTGCCCGACTCTGCCTAGATCCCAGCTAATTGAAAAATGAGCAAAGAGGTAGAGCGTGATTGTAGCTATGGCTGAACATGCAACCATAGACTGTATAGCAGCTATGCCCTTAATTAGTTATAATTCTAAGCCTTTGTACAATTACAATGGATGAGTCACAGAAAGAAAATCCACCTTCTGGACTGTTTTCATGAACAGGTAAATTAACTAGAGACCAAAACATTGGTTGTACCAGGCTGTAAGTATGTTTATTTCTGCTGTAAATTGGGTCATTTTAACATGGGACTCTTTTTTTTTTTTTTTTAGCCAGCCTCAAGTGGCCATTCGAGGAACTGCACTTTTTAGCACTTCCATGATTTTTTCAGCTCCCGAGGTTGCTGGTTGGATTTCCTTTCCTCTCAGGATGAATTGAAATATCTTTTGTAATTCTGTGATTTTTCCTCTGGCACCATTGTCAGGAAAAATGCTACTTTTCCTAGTTAGCAAATGCTACTTCCTAAATTACAGCGGTGATCATAGCACCTGTAAACACACCTGTTAACATCAGCGTACAAACCTGAAATCTGACGGGTTTTTTTGTCATAATTGGTTATTATGAAGTTGTATCACCACTAAGATGGACTTATTCTGTACTTAATCAACATTACCACACAGAAAAGTAGATTCATGTAGCCTTGATGAAGTTCATTCTGCAACTCAAGCATATTGGAGGACTCTTCTAATTAAATTTCATATTTAAGAAAAATAAGTGGACACTAGCAACTTACTGAAACAGAAAAAAGTACCCCCAAGCATCAAGTAATTGGAAAATGGTTGGCAGTGATAGAAGTGTCCGTTAACTGTAGTTGTTATGCTGTAACTGCTGGTATGGTCATTCAAGTCATTTTGGGCAGAGGAGCACACTATAAAGAAGAAATGAGTGAAAACACAGACCCCCCTAAAACGCTCCAACTGGATCCTTTTGGAAACGCACAGAAAAACACTGGAGATTGAACTTGAGCGCCATAGTTGTCCAGATGTTCCATTCTACTCTTTAAGTGCTAAAATCAGATGCTGTCACCTCAGGAATAATATACTCTCGATGTGATATGAAGTGTTTTTGATTCTGTTGGTGCTCTCTGTATGGATCGTGTGGGTTGGCCTTTTTATTTTCAGGAATCTTGAGGACTGCTAAATGTGTGTGTGCGTGTGTGTGTGTGTGTTGGGTTATTTTTTTTGTGTCTCTGTTACCTTGCTGCCACTCTTTGGCAGGTGATTGGCAAAGAGTCAAATCTGGCTCTGCCTTTGGTTTTACGGCAGGCTTTTTGATCGAGGCATCCACCAAGTCACACCTCAGCGGACTCGGCTTTGGGGAGGGTCTTGGTGGGCCTCTCTGTCAGTCTCCCTCGATTGTGCTTTAATATGTTACACTTTAGTGGAACTTGATTCTCCAGAATCAGTCATGTAAAAAATTGTACAAAACCAATGTTGTTCTCAACAAAAACAAACAAAAAAAAGAACAATGTTTATAATCCTGGGGAGGAAAAAGTGTTTATTCATGTGAAAATAAGGTATATTCAGAATAAAAGTTTATGATTACTATATGCTGCATTGCGTTTAGAGTTCTGGCTGATGTTCTTTTTCTTGCAAAATGCCTTTTTTTTTTTTTTTCCACAGTAGATCAGATTACTAGCTTCTGTCACATGGCCAACACACATTTCCCATCCAAATGTGTGTGAGAATGAGAAGGAAGCACCGCGAGCCTGCTCTCCCGGTGTCTAGCCAACATCAGAAACTGACGTCCAGCCAAGATCAACAATGTCCAGGAAAAGAAACGAAGGACTCGTAGGTCCAGCCACATCTCTCCACAACACTGAATTTGGCTCAAGGACACATCCATTAACAACGGCCCGTAATGCGCCTCTGGTCATAAATTTACATTAATTCCTGTTTTCCCTGTTGCATGTTGATCAAATGGTAAGTGACTTTCTCGTTAACGCAGCCCGCTTTACACTTGAACCTGAAACCAGCTGTGCTCAAGTCCGGAGTCTTAGAGCTACTATTCCTCACTGCCCCCCAAAGACAAACTACAGGCTCATTTTACTCTTTATTATGGACATTAAAACCAACCCTGGTTCTGTATTGTACTGCAAAGTCATGACGAGCGAAGGAAAACTGAAATCCTTTAGGTGCTCTGGGACATTTTAAATGAGACCAATTACGATGTCTTTAATATTTATTTTTAATAAAAAAAAAAAAAAAAGGTCTTTATTGTTGGTAGCACAGCTGCTCAACGACTGCACAGAGACCAATAATATGAAATTATATATTTTACAGATCCTGTGACAGAAATTGATTACAGCATCAACTGAAAAGTACAACTTGAACGACTCTGCAGCCAGTCCAGAAACTGAATACAAATTCAAAATATAATTTATCATCGCAGTAATGCAAAGAAATTACACCGTGCATTCTTCCAGGCCTCCAGTTTATACAGCAAGGTTTTTGTTTTTTTTACCCGTAGCATATTTTTCACATGTGTAATCTCTGTTTTTAATGCATTTTCTTTCCTTGAGTGAATATTGTATGAAAGATTTATTGTCATGCTAAAAGCCATGTTTTCCGGTGACAGCACCCTGTCTTTCTTGGACTCCACTTTTCTCCCTCCCCAAACTCTTCCTCTCCAAAAGTGTTATTCCTTGTCTGTCACGGATGAGTTGCGATGTCAACAGCACCCGGTGGATTTCCTGCCAGGGGCTCTGGATTTCGTGTCTGGCAACATGATGACCCTGTTGGTTTACACTGAGAGGTCACCCCTGTTGTGTTTTTGATTGTTATCCTAAGTCTCTGGGCTTGTGTCCCTCTGTCACTGATTGATATCTGGCCTGAAGTCCAATAAGTAAACGTCCTCTAGAGTAAATATGAAAGGTTTATTATGTAAGTAATTACGTTTTGTAAGTATTAACAGTCCTCTCATTACACCGGCAGATTTGTTTTTCCAAAAACGGGGGGGGCTCTCCAAGAGATGGTGTCACATGTCATTTGTGCACCAGAGTGAACCTTTAAGTGCTTTATAAAATGAGATAATAAATGCTCGACCCAGAGTGCTCGCATACTGCAGCTCACCACTTCATTTATATGCATGTCCCGCTTTCCAAACTCCCTTTCTCTCCCTCTTCTCAGCTAATGCTTACTCTTGCATTCCTCACCGTGCTAGATGAAGAAGATATGGGTTCTACATTCTGCTTTCCTGTTCCGTGGAAGCGATCTTAAAGAGTATGACTTGGTTTTGGGTTACCGAAGAATACACTGTCCCCACACGGAACCTGTTTCGTTCCCGCAGACAAACCCCAGCTGACCACCACTGAGAAAGTTTTGTTTTAGACAGATGTAGGCTACAAAGGACCTCAGTAGGCACATGCTTGTTGGGAAGAAAGAACAACTTTGTGGGTTGGGGTTGGAAGAAACAGCATTTTGAGACCCAACTGACAACAAAGAGCAAGAGCAAGACCACCAAGGCATTGTTGAGGTTTTGTTTTGTTCCACATCTCCTGCCTTTCAGTTTCTCTGTGTAATTTTAAAGGTTTGACTTGGGGGCTCAGGAGGGACATCTGTAACAACCCCTGATCCCCGAATGAAGTTCATACCCTTTCATTTAAATTTCAAACACCTCATAAAGGCATTTGTTTGGCAAGCGCTCAAAACCTAATCACAAGTGCTGTCATAAATATCTTGTGATACTTACAAGGCACCAGGGGATCTCATTTAAGGGAGCTGAGATTGATATGTTTAGTATGTTTTTTTTTCCACTGTGCCTCTTTTATTCAGAAAGTCTGTACCCCGAGGGTCAGCAGTCAAATGCATGCAACTCCTTGCATTCTTATGCCTTTTTTTGGATATTAGATTATGGTGCAGGCGATTACAGTGAAAGTATGGCTTTCTTTCATCAGCTCCCGGTAGCCTGTAGTTTCAACAAAGCATTACGCTGCAGTTTATGTAAAACACTGGCACGATGTCTACCTTTATTTACCAGTTTTGGTTTATCATCACAATGATTACCACATGGACTTGCAAGATGATTTCTTGGAATTTCCTCAGAGCTCTGGCTAGTGGGCCGACCATCAAAGCCAATAGTAACGTTAGCCACATTGGCTGAACAACGTGCTAACACTGGGTCTTAAGTTAATCGGATGCTGGGAGTGAATGGGGACTCTTGTGTTCACTCTTGCAGCCAACAGCAGAACATTTGGTGAGCTTTGCAGGCGGCTGAGACATTTTAGAGTTAGCAGACGCAACTTTAGAAAGTAACCCTGGCAGACTGTGGTCACCTGGAAGCAATGGACGGTGAGGGGTAGTTGGGAGGCAGCAACTTGGTAAAAATTCTTACTGGCTTGTAAAGCTGGGAGTCCATGTAGTTGTGGAGGGGCTTGAAGGATGGCAAAAGTAAACGTGTTTGTATCCGAACAGCTTTTACTTTACACCTCCAAGTTTATAACAACCACAAAGTACAATAAAAACAGATTCACACCATATGGGACCTTCAAAGCAGCGGTCGCACAAGGGATCATGCCCAATGTGCACCATCGTCATTAAATAATGGATCACATGGAAGACAAAGCTGTCCTTTGACTCTATTAATTCCTGATAATGGACACCTTAAAAGGCATTATCCTATTCATAACATGGTCCCTTTCCAAAGACAAACTAAAAAAGTACTTTTTATTTAGATTTTTATATGTTTTTTAATCAAAATCTAAAGTTTACTCAAGCTGTAACTTGGTTTCCCTGCTTATACCTAAGGATCTGACTAATACCTGGAGCAATCTTTACCATTTCATAAAGCTGTAATGCAATGAAAGCACTGTTTACTCCTCCAGTAAATTGGGCAAACCTCAGATATGACTTGACAAGGGGACATTTTTAGTTTAAGTTAACTTGAAATTATCTGCTGACCACAAACGTTACTCTGGAGGGTGAAGGTCACTCGATAAACATGTTACATTGCATTTTAAAGTGCATCTTCATGCAGGAATTACAGCAACTAGGAAGGCGACTGTGGTCTACATGAAACTTGGAACAAAGAAAATGTTAAGCCATGAAGTGTGAAAGACAAAGACATGAGTGTCTTGTATTTTCCATGTAAACAAATGTGTCATGTATGATCAACTTCAGAATAACTCTTGTGTGTAGAAACCCTGCAATGATGCAGTTCCTCCGAAAATTTGCAAAAATTATTTACATGGTGTTTGGCAATTTGAACCACCTGAAAGGTTCATGAAAAACCGGAGGTTTACACAATTGACTTGGCGAAGTCAAAGCCTTTCCCTCGTATTTACCAAACAGCTCAAATTCCAAATATCCCCCACCTGCTCCGTTGTCTCTGCATCGCTTTGGATCCTTGTTGGGAGTCCTGTTACTTTGTGACTCATCTGCTGGTCATTAATGCACTCACTTTGTTGTAATTGCTGCAGTCTGGTAGCATTGGCTTTTCATGTTCCTTTCATGTTTTTTTGGCCGCAGAGAAAGTGAGGCTAAAGCGGAGGCCCCAGCTGTATCGGGAAAACAGAAAAATAACCACCGCAGATGTGGGACGCTCTCGCTCATCGGACCGTGCAGTGACCAGTACCGGAGGTTTGATGTGGTTTTTGAATCACCAGCATCGCCCACGGTTTTGTATCAGCTGTCCTTGACTGGAAATGTGAGTGGTCCTTATCTCAGGGGAGACGAGAGCAGAGCAGGAGGGAAAACAGAGGAGCACTTCCAAAGATTTGCAGACAGACTGGAGGTGAAAAAGAAGCAAGCTGTCAAAACGTTGTCTTTAAATGATGGCGCCTGAAAAAAAAAAAAACTGCTCAGTGACTCCTGAAGACTGATGGAAAAACGTCATTCTCTGATGGAGATGAAGTGAGAGTCTCAGGAAAGCCTTCATTTATTTGCTATTGATTCTGCAACGTGTTTTAGAAATTAAGGAGGGTTAGAGTCAGTGTTGGACTAATTACTTTTATCATTATACATGCCCTTAAATGTATTTGTTAACATTCTGTTATGTTGCTCAAAGTGAGTTTGGATTACATCACTGTAGTCTTACTAAACCCAGAAGTCACTCTGGTGGTGATGTTTTGTTTGGCAGGAAGGACGAAGACCCAATTTTTCCTTGATCTTTTTTCTTTTCCACAGCATCAACTTAGAATTAAAAAGCAATAAACAAGATGAAAATGTGAATTTACAGTTCCGCAGAACATCATGTTTTCACTTTGTTGCCCTGCAACTAATCCTCATAAATTAAAAGTGGCATCACACGAACGGCACTTTTTACATTCTGTTTGCCCACAGCGTGGGATGGGAGGAAAAGATATAAATAATAAAATAGCCCAAGGCCTCGTCCACACGAATGCAGATCGTTTGCAAAGTGAATATTTTCTTCTATATTTGGGCATCTGGGCCACAAGTAAACACCTTCTAAAGGGCAGATTTTATAAGTTCTGGGTTATGGTAGCTGCAAGATGGCGCAGTTGGTAGCACTGTTGCCTCGCAGCAAGAAGGTTGCCGGTTCGCGTCCCGGTGGATGTCTGCGTGGAGTTTGCATGTTCTCCCCGTGCAGCGT